TGTTTGGGGTCTTCCATTCATCTTCTTTGTAATCCGCACCGAGTTGAAATTTCAGCCACCCTCGCATCAGTTTAATGAATGTCTTTGGAGAACCTTGCAAACTATCGAAATACTCAATAGTTCTAGCCATGGGTCGTACAACTCCAACAGTCCAATGACTACCTCTGCAGATAGGAACAAACACCGTGTCAACCTGAAGCAACGAGACCCCGGGAGCTTTCTTCCTACCCATCAGACGTTGTGTACTGCTTGGACCTTTCTTATCTAAGTTCTCGTAAAAGAAGCTGTTATGTGCTATGAATTTTGGCACTTTCCCTACAGGTTCCCCGAAAGCCTTTGCCTCTTCTTTCGCGAATTCGTTTGCAGCTTCCACCACCCATTCAATATAAGTGTTGATAATCTCATCGTTGAGCCATGAATTTCTACCTAGTAGGGTTCCAAAGTCTTTGTAATGTAACGGAGTGCCACCCTGCGATTGGGTAATTGGCAAATTCCCATTTTTTCGAGCGCGATCCAGAGCTTCGCAAACAGTATCCTCCCATTTGTCGTCCAACGCATGTACTAACCGGTTCGATGGATCTCGTCGTGTTAGTCTGCGTTCCTTTGCGATTCGAATCTTTTCTTGCCTTTCCTTGAGCTCTTGCGCTTCACGATCCCTCTTGTGTTTTTCTTGAGCTCGTGTCGAGATAGCAAACAGCGAGGGTCCAGGTTTATCGTCTTGTTCATCATCAAAAGTTAATAAAGTGGCCAAACGGTCGTTTAAAGAACTCTCAACAGTGACAGTGGCCGTGGATGAGCGCCTCAAGCCTCTCATCGGCTGGAGGCGTATGGTGGGAGCTTTGGGTGATCGTGGTGATCGCAGCGTATCTGCTATCGACTTTGGTCTTTCTTCTTCATTTTCCCCCTCCTCATCATCCGAAACTACTATAATCTCTCGTTCTACGGGTTTCGTAGGAGCACCGAAGGCTGGTGGGATCCATTGCGCATCGGCCTCTGCCCTCAGCTCTTCTTCCGACAAGCTCTTTGATTGGCCCATACTTATTGATGTTGTCCTTCGTTGATGTGATGAGGTTCTTCGGTGCTTGTCGCTTCTTGATTTATTTCTCTGCCGCTTGACCGCAGTTGACCCATCTTCTCTCGCTTCTGCCCTCTGGATATGTTCGTCTGTGACTACTGTACAATTGGTCTTAGTCAAGCCAGTAGATAACGTGAATACGGCAGTACCACTCACCATCAATGTTGCTGTAGCTCATATCTGTATATAATGGATCGACCCTTCTACGGAACCATTCCAAGGCGCCCCAAAACCAACCCAATATAGTCTCGAACATTTCGTCCCCGTGAATTGGCTTACCAGAATATCAGCTCCTGTCTCCTTGAAAATACTAAGCTAATAAAGCTTTGGGGGTCTGGACATACCTCAATAACTTCTATCGAATTGTGAGTTAACTCTTGACTAGCTTTGCGCTTAAGACTGGTCATGACGGAAAGGCGAAATTCCTTTGTTGCTGGGATCGCCCAACATTGAGAAGCACGTAAAAGTAATATCTCAACTGATTTTGGAGTATTCCTGATTGATGTCGATTGTTGATAGTTGATGTGCTGTTCCTTCAAGTGGGCTGAGATTTGGGAAAGATTGCATGTAGTTGTGGGTTTTTGGAAGAGTGATGGTTGTAAGATTTGCGGCAAATCAATGATGAAAGAAGAAATGGAGAAATAAGTATTGGGTACCTTACCTTACCCTACCTAGTGAATGTACGGGATATGGAACTTCTTTTGGTGAAAGATGATTTAAGGTTTTGAGGAGGACAAAGCTTTTTGATTGGATGAGAGCTGTTGGTGCCGGAATTAAAAGCAGGGGCTGGTTATAGCTGGGTTCAGGCCTAGATGTTTGTAAGTGCTAATTGAAAACAACAACAAAGTACAAGTACATTTTGTAAATGCACATGAATATATATATATACACCAATCATCAAAATGATCAATATTGAATCAAATACATTTGTATGTAGTTTTTAACATGGTTCATTTATCTGTTGGCACATTCATTAACTACCTAATTGCTAAGTATAACAATACACGCTCTTGCCAAACTCCAATCCAATCCAATCCCATACATCATTAGTGTCAAATCATACAAAGCATACTAGGTCTTGACCCCATCGATTTTACAGAGATGGCCTCGATTCCCCAAGCTTCTTCGAACAGAACGCTCCAAAATATTCATTCAGCGCGTCCACTGTGACGCTACCTGCTTCCAAAGCCACAACAATTCCTACATATCCATCCGGTCTAACAACAACCACACCTCCTCTTTCTTCATCCAATCCCATCTTGCTATGACTCGAAGCCGTCGCATCAGGTACTACGCGATCCCAGATGTCATCTGCATAGACGTGATCGCTGTATCTAGCCAATATCTTTGGAACGTCTCGCGCAATCTCAATGTTCTGTCTCTTTTCCGCGAAAATTGTGCAGAAGGTGAAGAAATGACTATGAGGGTTGTGACGTTCGTGATAGGATACCTGACCGGCATCTGATCGTAAATATGTGGAGAGGAATGAACCCTTCTTGATAATGTTTTGTGCAAAATCATGCAGTGCTTGCTTGGTAGTTGCAGGTTTTCCAGCAAAAACGTATACTCTGAATGAACCATTGACGGGAATCTCTTGCTCGAGATGAACAACATTGGCATCTGTGACTCGTGTGACATTGGAATTGGTGAGGATACGACCGGTTCGGAGCTTATTACCCTTCGGGTTTATGGCGCTGGATTGTGCTGGATGAGATGGTGACCAGTTCAGAGAATTTGGATTGTATGCCACTCCATAGCCACTGGTAAATTCACAGGACTCTTTGAATGTTTTGATGAATTCATTTTCCTCCCCCTCGACGTTTGTGTGCTCTGCTCCTCGTTGTGTAGCTGCCTCTACATCCTTAGCAGCTGGCGCCTTTTGTGAGAAGAGAGCTGCATATTTTGCATCGAAGTCCAATAGATTTTCCGCAACCTTCTTTCTCTCGGTCTCGTATGAATGCAGAATAGATCGATCGGCGAATCCTGATTCGACATGGTGAATTTTCCACGCAAGGTTTTGGGCATCCAAGAAGGCTGTATTCATTCCCTGTCCAGCTTTGGGCTGCTTTTTGTTAGCGGACGTTGAGATGGGAGTATTAGATATGACTTACACTGTGTGTATGGCAGGCATCACCGCCCATGAATACTCTATGATCAAGAGTATACTTTTCCGCAATCCCTTGACCAATTGGATACACGGAATACCATTCCACACGTTCCCATTCAATGTTGTACGGTTGTAGTATCTTCTTTGCAGATGCCTGCACTTCTTCTTCCGTCGCCGTCTTTCTAGGATTCCAGTCCTTATCGGTCGAAGATGCAATCTGTATGTAAAGACGGACCATGTTATTTTCTCGAGGAATGACCATGATAGATCCGAAATCTGAGTGAATGGTACATTTCATCTATCGATTTATCAGTGGTTGGTAGCTTAAGATGATGTGCACAAGAAAAGATTGCTTACTTTAATGTCAGGAAAGTCCGTTTGAACAACCCCATCCATGACACCCCATACATGTGCGATTGGATCCTTGTGTTTGATACCAATATTCAATTGTTGTCGCACAAATGACCTAGCTCCTTCGCCACCGAATAGATATCTAGCTCTAACTGTCTCTTTCACGCTACCTTCAACTTGAGCTAAATTGACTTCTACTGGATACTCGGGATCTTCCTTCTCATCTGTCTTGAAGCCTGTTATGGTCCAAGGTCTCTGGATATGAACATTGTGCTTTTCTAGATCCGCAATGAAAACTCTTTCAATCATTCCCTGATGTAACAAGGTTGTGAAAGGGTATCTGGCGTCAATAAAGCTAGGACAACTCGCCCATGTTCCGGTTCTGTGTATGCCCTTTCCGCCGGAAGTTGGATCCCAGAATGCGACTTCGTAGACCTTCGCAGGTTCATATGCCATGATGGCAGGCTTCAAACCCATGTTCCGTAATAGATCCAAGGACCGAGGCTGAATACCATCTGCTCTTCCAGTCTTAGTTGGCTCCGATCTGTTATCGATGTGCTTGATCTTATAACCCCAACGTGCCAGACAGGTTGAGAGCAGTAATCCTACCGGCCCAGCACCGACGATTACAATATCATACTTCTCTATTACACTTCCAGTGTTTCCAATGTTCTCCTGGGGCACCATACTTTTCTCCATTGCTGTGACTGTATAGCTAAGAACGAGAAAATTAAAAGATTTGACGGAGAAGGAAGTGAACTTGATCAAAGCAAGATGACAAGAAAAGTAGAATGGTTATGAGAATACAACAGAAAAGAGAAGGGAAACCGTGGGACTTTAATAAAAAATGTTAAATTGCTGTAAACTACATGTTGAGGTCGGAAACCTCTAACGGCATTTTATTCGGGCGCCATTGATCCATTCTAAAGCTCGATTGACTACCTTGATCTATTCCCGAAGAGCATTGAAAGCTAGAAGGGAGTGTCAGAAAGGTATGAAATAGTAACGGGAAAGCCCACGGCAAGTTCTACTTGAAAATATTGCGGGGAAGGGTTGTTGAAGGCGGGGAGTGAGCCAATCATATCGCTTGTATTGATTGTCATGAATTGCAACTCGTATCGGCTTCGAAATTCGGTAGCTGCTAGGTTAGTTTTAAGCTTGGTTTGATGAAGTGGATGACTGGGGCCAAGATTACCTAATCTGGTTGCTGGAAAATGGCTGCTCGTAGCATTAAGTAAGCTCGGTGAACTTTCGGTGTATCATGTGACAAACGGTAGAACGACTATCAAGCACAAGAATCGACCGAAGGTCGACTGGTCTTGATGATTTTCTATCGGCTGGAGAACTATCATACAAGAGCCGTTGCAACCGACATTCTGGAATTCATCAGAATGCACGAAACACGGGCAATCTCCCATTTCGGGGTGAAGATACCCAATGTGTTCAGTACGTCATGGAAACGGAATCATGATCATTGGCAAAGCAAAATCTAAAGTCCATGACGAAACGCTGTTTGCTGCTACATATTTCATGAATCCTCTTGAAGCTGTTCATCGTTACATCAATGGCAACTCTGTACCCGAATCTCATAATACAGAAGAGGCTCCAGAGGCGCGTTGAGAGAATAGTTCCTCAGCTGAAGGCGAAAGTGACAAATGATCTTTACTGAAACGAGATACTGGGCACCAGTGAAATGGACTCAATATAGACGACTTACTCTGTCTGTCACATGGGCGATACTAGAGTTCCTAGCTGGGGAACAGCTCTCAACTCGACTGACTCCCAAGAATCTCAGACATCGGACGCTCTCGCGATAACTGATACAACTCTCATGCTTTACTGGCGGAGCTTAGAATGTAAAGGGTGCTCGCTACTTCTCTTGAAGGGTAGGCAGGGCTCGAAGGGACCAAGCAAATCATCCGATGGGTAACACTCCGCATCTACCAGGCAAAACTTCTTTGTAGGGTATTATGGAACCAAAATCGCAACGTAGAAGCATAGTACTATACTTCTGAATGATCTCAAACATATCATTAGGTGCATGCATTGATGCCGTATTATGCAAGTTGTCCGGCTCAAAATTGGATATTGACAGCATCTTTTTTCTTGATAGACACACAAGATGAAGTTCTCACACCGACCGTGGCAAATGGAGTAAGATGAGTTCAAGGAGGGTATCTGCAGTAAGTTTTGCCAATTTGAGAGCCAAATGGCGGAACTCAGAGAACAAATTTGTGTTGTAAACATCCCAAGCTCTCAATCAAAAGATCTCATACCACTGTCAATACTTAAGAGAATTGGCTGGCCATGGTGGTTGGTCTCTTATCACCACCAGCACTTATGTTATGATGGGGATTTACTTTTATCTTCAGACTTCACTCCATGATCGTTCCCCAATTAAAATACATGTTCTACAATCTTTGTTATTGGCGCTAGTATATTGAGTTGAAGGATAATCGCGCCTTCCTCAATCGTTGCAATTCCCTTCACTTGGGAGAGAACGTCGTACGATGGATGAATTTTCAAGTCGAATCTCTGTCAACAGATGATAAACAGATGAATATTCTTAGCTGAAAGCCTTTAGATGAGATATTGTGCAATATGCACTGTTATTTCTTTTCAAGTTTCTCACTTTACAGTAAAAGTACTAGGAGTTGTTCAAGACAATACAAATTATTCCAATAACCGAAGAGATTCACTTTCGACTTTGTCGGACAACAAAAAAAACAACCAGCCGACTTCTTACTCACTACCTTCACTTCTTCTTCTTCGGACTGTTAAAATACTCACACATCATAGAATTCTTCATTGTTTCTTGAACTATAGTATCATAGATCGACAGATACGATTCCATCATATTTGAGAGGTTCTCGTAGGCACTTTCATCAGTTTTTTCAATATACTCTTCCTCATTTGTGATGATATTTGTTTCCTCCTTCCAACCAGTAAAAACAACAGGACGTTACGATTGCTTGGTTCCTTTCTTTCAACCAATCTAATTCACTGGTCTTGTTCACAAGAAATTATTGTTCTTTTGAAATTTTGTTTTGGCAGCAATTGTCATTATATTCGTACTGTTTACTTATTATAATTGTTGTTTTGACATTGTCATAAACTATCCAGTTAATGCTCTATCTGATGTCCATGGAATTGCAATGATGAAGACCAATTCCATCGAAGGCGATAGTCCATCAGAATATGAAAATGGTGAAATGATACACCCAATTCTAGGCAATTATCATCTCCCTGTGGAGATAGAAAATTCACGGAAGCAGTCAGGAATGCATAACCTCTCTCGAGAAGGTTGGGGTGAAGAGAGTGAGTGGAGTGTCTTTGGTCTAATAATCTATAAATCCTAATTGACAATTTATAGAATGTCGTAATTATTTAATCCGACTTTGTTCAGATGGTAAGCAATGCAATACGAGATCTTACACCTTTGTACACACCCATTCCGAAAGGCTTGGTTTCAGTCTTCAGGGAAACCCGAGCAGCAGACTTCCCGAGTTGGCAAACAATACTTCATATTGGTCATCTGATTTTTTTCTTTCATTCAATCTATACTAATTTTGAAACCATTTAGTGCCCCGAAATTTTCCATATAAGGATGGATTGCGCATATTGCATCCTCGACTTCAAGAGAGATTTGGCGATGAGAATGTTGACTTGGCCCTGGGAGTCTTGGAGGAACTGATTGAAGTTGAAGAGCCACCGCCATTTCCAGCTTCTGTTTTCCAAAGATGGAAGCACGAACATCTTCGTAGAAAGGCAAGTGCTCAACAAGCTATTACGTGCTCCTCATCTTTCTAACAGCGCTGTAGGAAGACTTCACCAATCCACATGCTCCACATACTGCAACAATACAAGCGCCAGTCGTGCCTACCCAAGCACTCGTTGCGTATAGAGAAGAGCAGGCACGAAGAAAATTCGCTCAGCCACAAATAAGTCCTAGTGCTATCCCATACTGCGAATCGTGCAACTCGAATATTGCGCACCAACCTAGCTGGAAGATTGACCATAGCGTATTCGTCTCAGTAGGAGGAAAACCGGCAACTTTGGCATACTGCCCAACACCCGAAGAGCTTCACAAGGGAATGTGGGATCCTGATTATGGCCGTGCAGGCGTTTGTGTGCGGCCGAATACTGCTCAAACATGTCCGCCTGGCTTGGCAATGGAACCAGTTGGACCAAATGTAACATCATCGAAATATTCCACTCCTACTCGATCTTTCATGAATAATGCGAAGAGAGAGCTGGGGCACAGGGTGATGAGTGCTCTCTCAGAGACTAGAGAAAGTCTGAGCAACGTGGCTTCTGATCGAGTAGAGTTGTTAGATACCGAAAGATGCGAGAATTTTCCCCGCGATAGGGTGTCTACCAGCTCCGAGGCTTCCAGAAAGATTAGTGGACAGAGTGAAGTTCGCAAAGTCTCTAAGATAATGAACGTCAACCTACCACCAGGCCGCGAAATCCCGAATGCAAATTTCGCGAGAAAAAACGAGTTGATTTTAAGCGGACCATCAAGTCTAGATTATCTTCTCACTTCTCGTCAGCCCACTCTTGATGAGGTTGTCAATAAAATGTTGGAATCGAAGACAAATTGTCCTGGTAAAGCCACCTCAAACATCGATGTTAATGCTCCGTTGTCCAGTGAAGACGCCAACCCACTCCGTTCTTACTTGAGTAGCTACTATAGCCTTCCAGCCAGTCCCAGCGATTTCTTCGATGGCGGACTTGACTATAAGTGGGACACTCCAGACCATATCGAGAGCGCGGAAAACGAAGTGTCCAATACATGTTCCGTTTTAGGAGCCGATGAAGCGCTACAGTCAACTCATCTTACATATGGGGATAGCCACAGCATCACAGACGATTCTCAGGCTGAGAATGCATATCATGCGCATACGACTGACTGTGTTGAAAACATCAAGGCAAGCAAACTCTTGATCTTGGACAGCTATGACACGAAACTGCTTGAAACCAAAGAGCAAGAGATGCTGTATCCTACGGTGTATGTCCCTCCTCCAAAGAGCAACATCCTGAAGATGAGAAACCCAGAAGTGACCTCAAAGAATGCGGTTCCTAAGGAAACTTCGGCATCAAGCTCTGGGCCTTTTGAAGAAGAGCATGAACATGAAAATCGCAATAGCTACGATGGTACATGTCAGTCATGGGAATGTCGATACAAAGAAGAATACCGAAAATCTTCCGGAAATCTTGTGAAGTGGAAGGAGCCATCTTCGGAGTATGATGAAGAATCTGAAGAGTCCGAAGAATCCCGGCTATCACCGGACATTTACAGTCCCCCATCGTCCCTTGATCCCCTTAACAAGTACAAGAGCTTTCCACGCAGTACAAAAAGACTTTCACGAAAAGCAAGTAACGTCTCGTCCAATTCTGAGGGCGATCATTTCGAAAGTTACAACGCTGAAACTGCAACAGCCCAGAACATGACATTCCCAGAAGTGGAGAACTTCGAAGCGACTGTGCCTGAATTATCGAAGTCGCAACGATCTACCTCACTAGGGAAAGTAGATATCACACCACCAGGTCTATTGTCTGAGCGTTCATACCTTTCAAAAATCGAGGTTCCGATAAGAAGTAAATCTTCTGCCGCTTTTGGTACACAAAAGACGGGCAGCCCAACAAGTTCGATTCCCTTGACAACCGAGTTTCCGCTGACTTCACAGTCGCAAACGACAACAAATCAAATAAATCTTGCGTGCAAACGCTTGAATAATTCGCATTCCTTGGAATCTTTGGACGAATCACTTTCGTCTGTAGTTGCACTTGAATCAGTTCGAAGACGGGTCATGAATTTCGACGGTGCAGCCGATGTTTGTTTACCAAAACAAAAAAATAGATCCAAAGAAGCGACTCGCGACAATAGATTCAAGAACAACAATGGCGACTCACTCTACAATGAGAATAGTATAAGCGACGCGGCAAAAAGATTCTTGATGGAACTCAATCAAGGACGTCTCCCTACCTTACAATCCCCAACAATTTGCCCTCCGCAACCTTTGTATATTTGCAAGCAACCGAGTCAAGTTCAACTTGAACAAGCAACAGAACATCAAGATAGCGACTACAACTATGAGCAAACCCGCTATCCGCCTCGGTCATCTTCCATTCCACAACGCGAGTGTCTGGGATCAATTGAGCAGACCACGCCTTTTCTAGTTGACGAAGACATTGCAACTCGTGAGCCAAACAATCGCAGCACAAAGGACTCGCAAATGTCAAGGGATCAGCCAAACGCGCCTGAGACTACTGCGCGCTCAACGGTCTCTGAAATCAAGCAACACTACTTCTCTGACAACTCTGACAACTCTGGCGGTTTATTTGGTGATTTTATTCCAATCGGAACTCCCGGATCTGTTTATTCTCCTCAACCACAACAGCCATTGTACACGATGCCTGTTCATAGGTAAGCCAAACAATACATCAATATTGAGACTTTTCTAACATGGATTAGTTCTTCGCACGGTCGCAAGGCTGGAAATTTCAAAAACCCATACACATTTGAGCCAGAGACCCCGCTGATTATAGATGAGTTGCGCCAGACCACAATGACCGACTTCATGCATATTGATGAGAATGTCAGGCCTGCCTCCTCACCAAGTCTTGGCCATGTCAAAAACTCACGGTCAGTTGGCCATGCCGCAAATAACAAGGATATTTTGATGGCGCCCCAACACTCAAGTCATGGCCACGGCCACGGTCTCCAACGTAGCGGCACATCCCCAAGTATTACGCCGTTGCGTTTTGCAGCACGCGAAGACTCTCCTGCTCCTGATCATCGAGCCTATCATGCCGGTGTCGATTCTATCTCGCCAATCCTTCAAAACGCTTTTGCGACTCAAAGTCTACCTAACCGCGGTCGAATTGCTACTCTTGAACGGTCTCGACTTCCTGTCGACAAAAGTGCCAGAGACCAGTTTCCGCAGTCATCCAGCTCACCGGTCCATCAAGCTGCCCGAAGTTATCAACGATCATCGCGGTCCCCAGTTCGTATGTCATCTGGCGAGCATCGCAAGCAGTCTTCACGTTCATTTGATGAAGACGTACCGGATGGCAGAGGTCGTTCTGCAACATATTCCCCAGTCCGAAAGGCTGTTAAATCAAGTGAAAGCAGTGAGTCTTATTCAAGCACCGCTTCGACTACAATCAATCGTCAGATGACTCGGTCCCCCACAAAGAATCTAGTCGACGTAGCTGAAAAAGATGAGCCGGATTTTCACGGCCAGGACCTGCTTCCGATATCTCCAAAGAAGAGGTCGCGTTCGCCAATGAAGAAAATGTTCGGGGAGCATGGCTGGCTTGGCTCATCTCAAAATGAGGTCCAACCAAGTGTTCTGTGTTCAAAGTCGACCCAGAAGGTGGATAGACCTAAGAAGCCTGGAATGATGGAAAAGATCAAAAATAAACTTGAGGGCTTCGTAAGTGTATTCCATCCTACGTGCCATTTTCATCACTGACTTTGAGTAGGCTGAAAAGGCCGACATGAAACTCGACAAGAATCGAATATCAGTTCTGTCTATTTCCATAAATCCGTATGAGCAGGCTAGATATTTGGTTGAACTTGAACTTATGATAGTTCATACAGCCAATACCTTTCTCATGATACAATTCAGCCAAGGCCGCATGTCTATCGATAGCATCAAGAAGACTGTGGACACATGGAAGAACAAGGGACGTCCTGCTGTAGTCGAATTTATGTATGACCAAGGCACTCAGCGTGATCTTGTCACTGCCAATCAGTATAACTTTCGATTTCATGGTAACCGACTAGGTGATGATGTTCGTATCTCATCTATGCTTTACAATTGGAAACAGGTGGCATCTCTCATGTCTATCCGCATCTTCTGTAATGCAGATACTGTTCTCTTGAAGCTGGTGTTCGATGTAGAGCAGATATTAGAGGTTATTGGTGGTTCAGAACAGATTATGTTTCGTCTCCAGCATCTTCGATTGTCAATCAACGAGGCCATTCGCGTTGCCAAAGTTGAGAGGACCACTTCACGAGATGGCCGTGAGAAGCAGTGGGAACCACAATTATCGTCAAACATTTCGCACAGTGATCCATATGAAGGTATGAAGCTCGTTCCTGAACATTACGCCAGTTAAGATAATTCGATCAATCCGCACACGTCTATGTGTTGTATGTATGTATTTTCGCCGTCATTCGACTAATTTATATCGACCTCGAACTCATTCAAAAGACCTGTCATCAAGAGGTTTGAAACTCCAGCGCACAAGATCTCTCGTGGAAATTGAGATTCACGATTGTACATGGGTTGATCTGTGCATCGTGGAATGGATAATAGAATTGTTATTTTCGCCGTATTAATTTGATCTCAGTGTTTTCATGTTCTCATGTTGGCTTTTCTGTTTTCTTTCATTCTTTGCCATATTGCTGCTTCGTTTCGATATCTCAATTTATCTCGATCCATCTCGATCCATCTCAGTCTCCTACTGGGCGAGGTTTGGACTTCAATCCTATTGTACTACTCAGCGTTGCACATTTTGATTACATGTGTGTACCTAGGGAGAATGGAGATGAAGCTACGAGTGTGTACAAAGAAGAATGAAGCAACGGCTGGTAGATATCTTGGGAAACCTTCAAAGTGTCAAGTAGTATTTAAAATCAAAAGCGTAAAATGAAAATTGCTTTTGTTTTTCATGTGCACCGTGATTGTGATGTGTACCTGGTGGTGTAAAGTATATCTCGTCCAGGGTATGAGAGATTGGCCCACCTCTCTGAAAGTGGTAAGGTGTTCATGCCTGCCAGGTAGGGTCAGACCGTCATATACACTGACAACCGGAAATTACTATCCATCCATCCACCATCATTCAACCAATTTATTATTATTAACCTTACGAGGGTTGGAAAACATTACATTACTTTGTAAAAAAGACGACTTGACTCACTCGTACATTCATACCACAATATCACAATTTATAACATGAAGCTATTCACAAACAAATAACAAAACATTTTTGAATACTTTTTTTCTATAATAAGGTTCCAAGATTTACTTTTTTCCCTTCTATTGTCTTATCAATTAAACTACTAGGTAGCATGTGATGTTCCCCAATCTCAAAGCGCCGCCCGTAACCTAGCAGACGTCATCTCACACAGAAAGTCCGCTGTACTGTACATGTCTGGATTGCAGTTGCCTCCACGCCCTCAAAAAGAAACACGACTACAGTGAGTACTTCCTTCCCATCTTATGCTTGCCTGATATTGGCAGCGACAATCTTGGTTGTTCATGGCTTCTTCTTATTTTTTCTCTTCATATTCTCTTTCATCATCATCAGCATCATCATCATCATCTCTTCTACCATTCTCTATACATTCTTTCCGCTTCAACATAAGTTACACCGCCATCAATATTACTATACTGTCTCTGCTTTTGATTTCTTGACGACGACCGCATTCGCAGAGCAGTGGCCAGTATCTAATCCTTCTAATCCTATTAATCACCTAATATTACTTTTTTTTTATAACAGTAAGTCTGCCAGTACCCGTTCTGAGGGACCGCCTATTGATTCTCAGCAGTACAAGACAATATGTCTCAACCTATTCATACCTTCGGAAAAGGATGTGACCTTGCTCCTCCTGGCAGCAGCGAAGAAGCTCGCAAGCCGTGTGATGAGATGCCCCCAATGCGAGCGCAATTCTTCTATTGTTCTCCTCTCCCCCTCGATGATCCTCTCACTGCTGTACCACCTCCAACGGCCGACTCCAAGAATGTGAGGCATCCCCCACGACCATTCCCGAAATGCGATAACAAGGTGCTTCTGGAAGCATGGCTGGGAATGGGTTCAAAGCGGGACCGCAAAAGTCATAATAGGACATGTAAGCCTAAGGTAGGGATCGAGCCGATAACAGACAAGATGATCACCAGTGCTATCGGATTCAAACCAATAATCAAACGCGAGGCTAAGGAGTTGAAGGAATCTTTGAAGCCGACTACAAGAAATCCCGAAAGACAACAAACAAATACTAGATCGGCAACGCAGCCACAGCAGGTCCATTCCAAACTTTCAAATAGCCATCAAGAACTTAAGGTAGGAGAAAAGGAGGGGAAGACTCCACCCTCAACTATTAGTTGCCCTTGCAAGGGGAGTCATCTCTGGTGCAGAAAGAAGGCAGGGAATTGCAAATGTGTGTCTTGCCCCAAAGCTTCACAAGAAGTGGCTGAAGCCAAACCCCACCCACCCCATGCATCCGCCCCTAAGACCAATGACAAGCCACCTGTTCCTGGGCCAGTTACCAAATGTAAGTCTAAGGAGAATCTTCAAGAAGAGACTTCCGATCATAGCAAGCGATCCAAACACTATGAGCACAATTGCAAGAGAGAAAGACCTGACAGAGGAGAGTCTGAGAAGGACCCTAAACCAGAGGCAAACCCCGAACTTGAGTGTACGTGCAATCAGTCATCAAAAGACTCAAATTACACAACCAGAAAATCCAGGGAAACCAAAACAATTTACAACCGCCCTACAGAGCCATTTCCAGCCGAATCACTCAAACATGGCCAACAAGGAAAAGGAAAACCTGAAGAATGCAAGCCACATGTCCATCAGCCTAAGTGTTTGTGTACCAACACCGAATCTCACCAAGATAGCACCGATCAAAAGAAGAGATCTAAGCATTGGGAACACAATTGTAAGAAAGGAAAGGCCGAAAGGGAAAGGTCTGAAAAAGAACTCAACTCGGAAGACGAGGCCTGTGTTGAGGAACCCGAGGAGAAGATGCCTGTTGAGACGAAGTTGAGTGACAAAGGGAAGGGGAAGGCTGTTGCTCTCAATGACCAAGATGACGCGGATCAAGTGGAAAAGACAAAGGCATGGTTTGACGAACAGTTAAAATCTCAGATGGAGCCAGATTCAACCTCGTTCTACAGAGATCAGCGTCACCACAGCGAGAGCACCAAATCCACAGAGGATTCCAAAGCACACGAGAGTGAGGAAGACATCTGCTGCGTTGAGGATAGAAAGCATAATCCAGATTCACTGATTTCAAGAATACCAAGCTGCTGTGATGATAGCAAAGCTGGTGCCAATTCCAAGCGACAACAATCTGAAGCCGAAACTACATTTTCGGGCCGATGTGAAGAAAGTAAAGGTGATAAGGCTTCCGGGCAAGAGGAATCAGACGCTGAAACAGAATTTTCTGGCATCTGTGACGGAGACAAGGCCAAAGATCCTTCAAAGCGGAAAGAATACGAGGCCGGGACTGTATTCTCGGGTAGTTACGACAAGAGCAAAGATGACAGATCTAAGCAAGGTCACTCCGAGTCTATAACAAGATTTGGAAGTTGCTGTGACGATCCCAAATCCAAAGACAAGCAAGTTTCTGAGGGGCAAACATCTGGGAAGCAGATTACCGAGAGGTCTACATTGAAAGCATCTTCTAAAAACGTATCGGATAGAAGCAGACTCTTCGGTAGACGCCAGGCAGATGGTACCGGCGATCAAGACGATGGACTATATGTCGACTCCGATGAAGATCTTCCTGTTGGTTACATGGTTTCCGATCAAGGAGATGCTACAAATGACAAATGTACCTGCAAACGTCAATCGCAAGTACCTGAGCATGATGTACTTGCAACTGGAAATGGTAATATATACACTAAAAGTGCAAAAACTGCCGGTTCTGGTACCACAGGAAAGCCATTTCTGAAACTGCCTGCTCGTGGTGAAAGTCCTCAGATGCAGAACAACACAGCATATGACGATGAGCCACCCACTGATTCTCGGATCTCGCACGAACGCGAATCCACAGAAGATATGGAGGTTGAAGGATGCAAGGCCTATAAACATAAGGAGCATGCAAAATGCCAAGTTGACATTCCTGTTGGGACATGTAGGCTTCATTTGGTCAGCTTATCATCTCTGATTTTGAAGCCGATATACTGGTCACCTCTCAATGATCAGTACCCTTGTATATATGGCACCTGGTTCTATAAAGATAACATGTGTCCTGTAGAGTCCGCTGTCGCAAATCAGCTAGAGAAGGGTTACAGGGAGAATGAGTGTTGGTCTCAGACATGGGACGATCAGCTCAACTCTGCAATAGAAGTTGGCGCGGAAGGCGAAGAGAAAATCGTTCACCGCCTCTGGCCAAAAGAAAATGATGACAAAACTGTAGACTATGATCCTTCCAAACAAATTCTCTCCGCAGATCCACATTGCGCCGCACGCTGTTTTCATGGCGAAGCTGCCGCAGAAGGCAAGGTTGAAGAATTGGATTCAAAGCCAGGTGCAGCCACCTCGATTGGTAAAAAGTACCCGAATTCACAAGTCATCTATAAGAACTGTGAAGAAGCCTTCATTCTGAAGCCCAGCATTTGTCCTTCGGCTTATTACGGACGCAGACCCCTCGCGAAAATCAAAAGTGGGCTATGTGTTGGTATACCTGTCGTTCGTGGATTCAATCGAAAGGCTTGGAATAAGCTTCATCTTTCAAAGAACTCAATGACCGCCACGAAAGTACACACCAAAAGTGCGAAGCATAGCAATACTGGTTTCAATATATTGGAAGAGTGCCCGGCATGTAAGGCCCAAGATGAACCTGAAAAGGTTACTGATTTGTGCCTGGTCATTCATGGCATTGGTCAAAAACTTTCGGAGCGCATGGAGAGCTTTAATTTTACATATGCTGTGAACAGCTTCCGATGTGAGATGAAACGGGAACTAACAAATGATGATGTGAAGAAGGTGCTTCGGGAAGACTTCTGTGGCCTTACAGTGCTTCCTGTCAACTGGCGTGCCAATCTTTCATTTGAAGATGGTGGACCAAGAAAGCCTGGAGACAAAGAACGTCCAGGCTGTGATTTCTCTCTTGACGACATAACGCAGCCAACAATTCCGAGAGTACGCCAGCTCATCTCGGATGTGATGTTAGATATTCCATACTATATGTCTGGACACAAGCACAAGATGATTGCAGCTTTGATTGCCGAGGCCAACCGAATATATCGTCTTTGGTGTAAAAATAATCCAGGTTTCCACAAAAATGGTCGTGTTCACCTTATTTCGCACTCCCTTGGTAGTGTCATGGCGCTCGAAGTGCTAAGTAAACAGCCCACCACCTTACCAGCCGAGCTGTCGTGGAGACCCAACACCAAGTATTTTGACTTCCAAACAACAAACTGCTTTCTCGCGGGTAGTCCATGTGCATTCTTCCTCCTACTCGATAGCAAGTCTTTAGTTCCTAGGAAGGGTATCTCTAAGCCTGGCTGTGAATGCGAAAATGGCAGCAGTAAAGACATTTTCGGTGATGCGGGTACATTTGGATGCTTGGCAATAGACAACCTTTACAACATCATGCATTGCAACGATCCCATTGCATATCGCTTGAACGCATGTGTAGACTCACGATATGGGGCGAATCTCAAAGAAGCGGAAGTACCGGACTCTTCTCGCAGTTTCATGACAGCAGTAACCCATGCTATGAAATCTGCTGCTGGCATGTCTCAGGATGAAGCGCTTCACGTTGGAGAAATGCCTAGACCTACTTTAATTACCAAAATGCCATCTCAAATGGAAATGGAAGTCCATGATTTCACGGCCGAGGAGATGGCTGAGAAGAAATTCTGTCAATTGAATGAAAATGGTCAGGTAGATTGGATCTTGGGAAATCGTCCAGGAATGTTAGCCAACCAGTATATTGATATGTTATCGGCTCATAGCAGCTATTGGAACAGTAGGGATTTTATCCGCTTCTTGTGCGTAGAAATTGGAAGGAGATCGGGGAAGATGCATACCTTGCCAAACATGAGAGCGAGGAAGAAGAGCCAGAAATAAACGGGGTTCATGAGGGGTCACAACATTAGGGGTTTGTGTATTTGCTTTTAGAGGGAAGGGCCACTAGGGAGTACAATATGGTTTGGAGAGGTGTCTATTGAGTAACCTTGGTACGCGGACATAGGAGGACAATCGTGCTTTAGGGAGTTAGGGTCGTATGGTGTGGTATGGTAATGCTTGCTTTGTTTTACGTCCTTATGATAGACCTTTTTGCTGCGATTACCCTAGACTACCTAGTACATTATGATACCCACCTAGAATGAATCATGAAGTATAATTATGACCACAATTGAAATACTGGACTGGTTTTGTGTTAGATGAGATAATGATAATTATCTAGTGAGAGATGAGCTGCGTAATGGGGCGGTAAGATTTCCCCGCATTCCCGAGAACCGAGGTACTGGAATTTGATGTGCGGAGTGACTCGATAGGGTGGATATATCCCGCCAAGCTGGCTGTTCATGATCGTATGGGAGAAATAGGTTTACTTTATTCGACGATATATTATCGAAGGATTGAAATAAGCTGCATTGAAGGATCTTGTAAATTTGATCGTGAGAGGGTCACAAGAGGCTCAAAAGGAAGATTGAACATATGAAAAACATGGCAGCAAGACCAAAAATCACGTTATATGTTGATACAGTCAGCCCGTTTGCTTATGAGGCTTATTGGATTTTTAGGGTAAGTGGATTTCACAATGAATAGAGTTGAACGGGGGCATGGGTGTGGAACGGGGAGCCAAAGTTGATGAGGAATAGAAGAGTTTCTGTCTTCAGAGCCTAATCGGATGAGAACTGGGTGTCGGTGTTGAATGAGGGAATATGAAAGAACGACTTGCCTCACCATCTCTTCCGGGGTTTTCGCTGGACATAAAGACTTGTTTTTTTTCTAATTTGATTACAATGTAACGTGCTAATTCACATCTTCTTCTAGCATGATTCTACATTCTCGAAATGCAACATCGAATACGTACCGGTATTTCTGGGTGGCATCATGAAGGATGTTGGGAATAATCCACCTATTAATATCAAAAGTTTGTCCCATTGCTTTCTTTCTCCACACTCGATTTCCCCGTTTCTAGTACTAACACTTCCCCCTCAGATAAAGATAAATGGATCGACCGCGAACGTCTCCATTGGGCATCTGTCTTCAATATCCCCATGTCCTCTGAAACACCAGTCGGTTTTCCTCACATGACGCTGAGGATTCAACGCGCGTTGGGTGTGTTGCCATTTTTATTCCCGGAGGAAAATGAAGCCCAAGATGTTTTATGTCAATGTTTAGATCGTTTGTATGAAATGTATTGGGTGGAGGGGAAGAATATTTCAGGTCCTGGTGTCTTGGAGGAGGTACTGAAAGATGTGATTGGAGAGGAAAAGAAAGAGTTGGTATTGAAAGAGGTTGCTGGGAAGGGCAAAGAGGCGGTAGTGAAAAATAATGAGAGAGCGATACGGGAAGGGGCTTTTGGGTTACCTGTGAGTTTGTCTCATTTTTTTTCTGGGCTTTTGATAGTGGAAGTTTGTGATGATGGGGGAGTGGGAGAAATGAATACTTGCTGACATGAATGAAAATAGTGGATGGTATGCACGAATTCCGCAGGTGAAACGGCGGGATTCTGGGGTGTGGATCATTTAGCACAAGTGGTGGATTTCTTGGGGTTGGAAAGAACAAAGAATAGAGCCTGGAAAGCTCTTCTTTGAATTAAATCAATGCTTGTTTCTATTAGACTAAGTCCAGATTCCTGTACTCAAATGTGTCGACGGTCCATACTTTTCTACTCCTTCGATATCGTGATCGTCATTCTTTCCCGTGAAATTAAATGACTAAAAGTCCAGCAATACCAAAAGCACCTAGGAATACAACAACTGCACTCAAAGAACCACCGGCACTTTTCGATCCGATTGAAGTACCAGTGGCAGAAGTACTAGATGTGGTGTTTGTGGAACTGGAGTCGGAAGTGGTGTTTGAAGCATCGGTCAGTGTGGTGACTGTGATACCAGGGGTGGTAGGACATTGAGTTGAGTTATCTGAAGCTTTGAGTGCAGTGACGTTGCTGGAGAAGGTGATATCTGCGCACTGTTTGTTTGTCAGCTCTGGCGTTCATTACCCCCTTCAATCTTTACTCTTCGTATTGGAAAGAGAGAAATGGTATACAGAAGAGGCTTGTTGATCGGGTGATTAGAAAGAAGAAAGAACTTACGTTGTAGAGTGCACTTCCGCTTTCGCCAACGGTAACAACTTGAATTGTGGCGTTCATGCCATCTTCAAGGGTGACGCCGGAGGGCAAATCGAAGTCGGAGAGACAGAGGTAGCCGGATCCAGTGGTGTTCAAGGGGGAGGGTGTGAGGGAGATATTTAGGTTAGAGGAACCGTTGATACCGAGGCCTAGGGAGGTGTTAGATTGAATTGGAAAGTTTAGAAGGCGTGGGGAGAACGAGGAGAGTAGGAAGAGTGCAAGGAAGGAGTGTAGAGCGATCAAAGAAAAAGACGTACCAAGGTTGATGAATACATATGTCCATGGATGATGCAAGTCAAGATTGATGGGGAAGGAAGTAGTAGGGTAGAGAGTACGGTTCTCAGTAGTGTTGATGTTTGCGCCTAGGAGAGAAAGTTAGAGATTGTGTGAAGTACAAAAATAGTTGTTTGGAATGGGATGGGAGTGGATGAAGAGGATAAATCCTAGTAAGGATAGATGTACATACATGGATACTCCCACTGAGAAGCTGGTGGAAGAAAGGAATCACCTCTCGGTGGTGGATACTCGATAGAGAAATGGGCGGAGACGATGGATGAGAGGAACGAGAGAAGGACGATGATATTGAAAGTAGCCATGATGATTTAACTTTCCGCGGTGATCTAGATCACGAAAGTCTCGAAGATTGGAAAGGCTTCCTATTAGAATAAAAATCCAAGATACAGATCAAGACTCAAATTCGGAATCAAGAAAGATCGACGTAGCTTAAGAAGATATTCCACGAAACTGTTTTCAAATATCCAGCACATCCATGCAGGAACACATACATATAAATATGCACCAACAAGGTATCCAACCTAATTCCCTCATAATCTGCTCAAATATTCAATAACCAATATCACGTCCATTCACACGGAACCATCCCATCCACCTCATTCACCCCCCTAGACAAAATCCCCACTCCACATCTCCCACCCATCAGATGAAAATTTTCCCCAGAATACATGACAAAAAGACAGACCATATATAGAAAATGTGCTCAACTGCAGCGCCTTACAGTTCTTGGCGATGTAGGATTTCCGGCTCCATTGACCCAATAGAGAGATTGTGGCTGGAGCTTTGGCTTGGCGTGAGGGTTTTGGCCAATTGGGTGAGAGAGGGATGGATGTTTTCTTTGTTTGCCATGGCGAGAGGGAAGCGATGGTAAGTGGAATCGTGCTCATATTTGCGCAGTTTGGATTTGGGGAGGGTTGAGGGACAAAGAGGTGAGTATGGTGAGAGGAAGGGTTTTAGTTGTAGGTGTGGGGTGTGCAGGTGTGAGGGCGGGGTTGAGGGGATGAGTTGGGGGTTTTGGGCTAGGTTAATTGAATTCTTTGTAGTATTTGAGAAGAAATTTAGAGGGATATTTCTGTTGGAGTTGCGGATTGATTTCTGTTGTTGTCGCATTACACTCTTGATATTTGCGATGGAGGTTGACGGAAAGTTACACGAACACACGACTTCGTATTTTGACCACGTCTCGGGTTAGAGCCTTTCTGCACTGCATTCTTGACTACCTGTCCTACGCTGGATTTCTTCGAATTCTTGGAAAAGTTATACGCACAGGATTCTGGGCAAGGGGCAGGTGCGATATGCAGCAGCAGTGCGGGGTTTCAAAGGGTGAGAAAATGATCTTCCCTTTGCACAACAACCCTTTTCTTCCTTGAGGCTCGAGGGAGTCTGTGAGGGTGGTGTTATGCATTCTAGAGTGAACAATGGATGGTATATATGGGCCGAAAAAACTGAGTCCAAAGAGCTTAAAAGTCCTTCCGTATGGTAAAAGATTTCTGGGGATATATCCAGCATGGAAATAGGCATGAGGTTGGTGTTTGATAATGGAAATCATGATTCAGAACGGTTGTTATCTTGCTTGATCAACGTTGTTAGATATAAGGGGCTTTCAAATCCGCTTCCTTCCTGGGAATTAGAGCTCGATTCATTTCCACTCACTCACGTCAGAAGATCAATCGAATTTGCACTAGACGGTGATATTTTATGATGTTTCTTACTTGTGCTACTAAACTTACTGCATAGCTTCGGGAAAGTAGCAAAAGTGCCATAATTGAGAACACGGCTTCAAGTCTTTAACACGCTCTATTCTTGTCTCGCAGTTAGACTACAAGAAACAAATTGACTCATAAACTGTTATAAGGAGGGAGCAGTCATCTCTCACGGCGTAATCAGGTGCACTTTCAATTATGTCGACAGTGCATAAGGAAATATGTTAATGTTGGTATAGCTAATAAGCTGAGTTCTACTCATGAAATCTACACAGGATATCTGACTAACCAAGTAACCTGTTTAGTGAATGCCCATAGTAAAAACATCCTTGACCCATCGAAAAGCCATCAAACCGGCAACTACGAGCTGAAAGCCTGGAAAAAGGCCAAGACCTCCGGACCATAGGCTCAACCATCTTTCGGTCTCGATGGTGAATAGTGGATACAGTCTCCCCTGTCAGAGCTTCCACTGAAGTTTGGATGCTATCGTTCAGTCGAGAGGGTTTCTACGTCGATTTGGCCAAAGCGCGGCTTCATATATACGGTTGCGCCCGCTCCGCCAGACTGTAGTAGGCTTGAAAACGTGTACTTGTGAGCAAATTGCTGTTCTGGCTACTAAAGGTGTTAGCATCATTTATTGGTGACGGATGCCAATTTCTGTTTTCTTTGGATGAGACATGCTGAACAGAAAACACCCACTGCGGATATGTTTCTTCAGCCAAGGAGGCTGAGAAATCTGAACGTCTTAAGCATAAGCCACTGAGTGACTGGAACACTGATGCTGAAAGGACCTGGTTTATCGTTTGTGTTCTTATCACAATTACCATTTCAACACAAATTGCCGCCAGGGGATTTTTGAATCCAGCTGCAACCCAGCAGCTGAATGTAGGATGTTTGGAAACGAAAACAATGACCCGTCTATTGTTGGCAGACATGCCAATAGATCGTCAAATTTGCGTATAAAAGCGAATGACTAATCGAGCCATTAAAGAATAGACCAGACTCTAGGTGGTTGAAAAGCCCCTGGCATATCAATCCTAGAAATAGGCAACGTGCGTTCAAGAAAGTTCGAGCTTGCGGGATTGGCTGTTTATGAAAACGATGTGGCAGGCAGTTAAGCAAGTGGAGAAGCAGTTGATGCGCTTTTTATGGTATCTAGCAGGGGCTAAAGCTTCGGAATTCATGGCAGAATCTGGGAATCAATTATTGTCAGCAAAATCTATGGCTAATGATGGTTTGAGATATCTCTACCTGCTAAATTTATAAATTATTGAGGTGAATAGGTGAATTGCGGTGGTAGAAATGCATCAAAATGGGCAAGCCGTAATGGTACCTACATTTATCCTTTGCAATGCTTGTCGTGAAAAGCATTAATAATGCCGCTGCTTTTTAGAAAGCCCTCAAAATACGACTTTGTTTCTGTTAGTAAAGGCCTTTAACAAAGCATGAGAAGGTGAATTGGAAGTGCAAGGACAACAAACACGATATCGTTCAAGACTCCTTTCTGGCGTTATCTAAACTCCTTTCTGGTTTGATCTTTCATGTCTCTTCTGCTGATACAAAAAGGTGAAACTTCTGGTAATGTGTGATGTTCTGTTTGTTGTACAATATCAAGGCAAAAGAAGGCTAAATCAAAAGTTTTTCAATCTCCAGGAGAACAACCTATGGTAAGTAATTAGCAGAGTGTCAATAAATATACCTTCCTGTGCAACTTTCACAACTATTTCTGGAGATCCTATTGTGAAAAGAGAAATAAACTTACATGTTTTTGATTGTTCGACTGAAAAACAAAAATATACATGTTGGACAAAAAACAAGGTGGAGATTTGAAGCTTTCGACTCGGCTAAATAGGAGGCATTCCTAAACATCATGCTCAAGTCAAAGATTAGAAAATACGGTGTATTATTAATGAACTTAAAAGATATCTCAAATTTTGTTGATGAAAGAATTCTGAAGGGAGTTAAGTGCATATGATTTCCGAAGCAGCATGGAATTGAATTGAAATTTCAGGATCCTAGCTCACATCACAACTTTCGAACGCTTGACCTCTTTCCGATTGCAACTACAACTACAATTGCAACTTTCAAACTTCAACATCAATATAAAAATTGCAGAACGAGTATTATCATCACCATCAAACTTCTCCGTTTTCATATCATGCGTTATATGTACCAATAAATGCTGAGCTTATCTCTTCCGATGCAAAGGATACTCTTCGGCCAAACCCATTTCTTTCACCACATGTCTTCGATGTCTATTTGTAAGTTAGTTCCATCTTGCTCCAACAGAATTACGCTGAGAGATAATAATACTAATAATCGGCGAAGCATCATAATTGAAGAGCCCAGGATCTTCCGACGGACTTTGTCCTCCACTCCATATCTCGAAGATTTAGAGCTCAGACCGAACACTTCTACTCATTTTAAAACTCAAACCACAGCATCGAATTCCAGTGTATCCTTTTATATAGGAAAGAAATTTGGCAGATTTAAAGAACAGCTCTTCCACAATGAAGTACGTACATTTTTTTTAGTCCCATTTTATCCCGAGCCTGACTGCAATTACCTTCCCGAGTTGAGTTCAACTTTTAAAGACTGGCAGCTAAGATCTTTTTCTCAACCAGGCCATGGGCCAAGAATCCATCAGTCGACGCACGTAGCTTAAACAAAGATTCTGTAAAGGGCACCTAAAAGTATTCGAGTTATTACTTTCTATCCTTACACCCCACGCTAGAGACAACACGGAGTTGATCTGGCACTTCTGGCCAGTTCAACTTGAGTTTTCTGCCTGCGCTCGAAGCTGCATGTTGACTGAATCAAAAAATCCACCACAATCGAAGAGTCTACGTTCTTCTCTTCCACATTCCTTCCCACATCACCTACGAACGCGAAAGCTTTACTTCCACAGTTTTTTCTCGTGAGCGGGACATAACACTAATTATTTTTCGTTAGTTTTAAAGCCATAAAGCTTCTAGTAAGTCATCTTTGATTATACCTCCATTTATTCTTGTTCATAACAAGCACAACTAATCGATCATAGTCCAGGATCAGCCATGAATCAACAAATCGATTATCGAAAGAATAATTGGAGACGAGGCAAAAAATGGGCACGCGAATACATTGTCTCGTTGACTGTAAGTTATCTATAAATTCGAGGAAGCGATTCTTTGTCCGGTCGAATGATCCATTCGCAGTTCCACGATCTAGTTGGTTATAATGTGGCATGCATGGCTTAGATTTGCATTGTACCACCTGCTAGATTCCAATAGTCATGTCGTTGATCAATCCACTGATATTTGTTTTTTCCAGAAGGAAAGCCGACTACATCCCAATAGTGGACTATCAATAGTCACAAAAAGAATGAGATCGACCCCGAGGGTAACAGGAGAAAGCTCTCTCACAACAATAAGGACCTAGTGCTATTGAGAAGACTTTGAAAGCTTGATGAGAAAGCACATCCAGAAAGGATAGGAATAAAGCGGGAAATCTGGTCAGGTCGAAGAAATAACCTCACCACTCAAGTGCCCCTCGTCAAATCTCGACAAGGCAGCATTATTCTGGTTCAACTGGCAAATCACACGCGATTAACCATCGGAAGCTTCTCGAGCTGTTAATCGGAGTCAACCAGTTGCAACACCGAAACTCAGTTATAGAACCGATCAACCCAGTCCAGCACCAGAGAGGTATATTCCACCAATCGTGCCGGCAAGGAAGCTGGATGGAAAAATTGAGCTGGACAAGACAATAACCAACTTAGATATCATCCATACGTGGAAGAAGGGGAAATGCTTCGAAGGTTACCTTTTAACATTATCATACTTTCAATAATATGGGCAGAGTACATGCAGGTGTTTACAGAACACTCTTGGTGTTGGTAGAATCTAGACTAGTTAGAGGTCCACTCTCTTATTGAAGGTCTTTTCTTTACGGTAGTTGGCATACGCAATTTATTCCACTCTCTTGTAGATTTATGAATGAGTCAGTCAGTTGAATAAATTGCATTTCTTGTATTCCGTCAAAACTTAGAATTGTGTTCGCCTTTAAAAATCTGCATTGATATACTGTTCATAATTCCTGAAGCACTCTATCTGTTAGGAGAATGACATACTGGCGTTAACCTGCTTCGCACTTTTTACAGACAGAACTTATCCCCAACACGATTTATAATGTAATCTGCCTTCACGGCTTCTATTCTTATATCCAGGATTGAAACTTTTTATACTGGCGAGTCGTATGTAAATTGAAGCCTTGCTTCTGGTTTTGGGACTTCGTTTTGAGCAATTAGATTGTTGGCTATATAATTAACCACACTACTTTCCCACTGCCCATTTTGTCCAATTTAATTCATCAACAAGTAGAACAGTGACGCGTGATTATAGATTCTCAATTTCCTATTTTTACACCCACTCGCCTAATTGGAGCTACATGTTTTGCGATATCTTGAATTATCAAGCAATACACACAGGCACACACCTTCAGGATTTTGTACCAAATACCAAATTCCGATTCACAACCCACGAAACAGAATATCTAACGTCTTGCCGCGGACGCCTATCATTTTTCAAGAATCAAAATTCTTGCATTTGGTACATGCCACCAGTGAACATCTTGTCAAGTCAAAATCCAAATCTCGAAGAATAAGAAAATACGAACAATAAATTCTCGAAATGACTCCACATCACAACACGCGGTCTCAAAAAGGCAAGAATGTCGATGCCGGTACACCCCATTTACAGACGGCACAAGGCATCATCAACAAAAAGAACAAGGCGCGGTCTCGCAAAGGAAAGGAACTTGATACCAATACCTCAGAGCCAGCACAAGATAATAAAGATGCCACTGAAAAGCTTCAAACGCAGAAAGTTTTCGAACCGATTCACCAGCTATTATTTGACTTGGAAAATCTCCAACAGGGAGTTGCTGCCGCTGCCGTCAAGGTGCTTGGCATTGACGGAGCAAAGTCATGTATCGGCGATTTATTGGAGATCGAAGGTACCGCTGACGCTTGTGGCACTCCCCTTCACGCCATCATCAACCGTATACAACAAGGAATCGATAAATTCCAATCTGCCATCGACAAGGCTAAATTTATTATTGTTGGTAACCAATCAGATGATTGCGAGGAAGACGGAGAAGAGGGGTTTGAGGACGGTTATACTTCTGACGGTAGCGCTGGGTCTGATATTCTAGCTGTGCCAGAAAGTTTACAGCAGCCTCCACATAAGCAAGTCTATCAATCCCAAGCTTCTGTTGTCGAGCCTTCGGCTGCCACAGATGTTGCTTATCCACCGATTCCCCGTAAAACGGCTGAATTGTCAGCCAAAAGAATTGATGTCAACCGTCGTCCAAGTGCCAAAGTAGCATTGGACAATATTGCAACATCTTCCGGTGCTGGTACGTTGAGAAGAAGCAAGAGAATTCGCGATACAGCACGAAATCAGGAGAGAGAAGATAAACGTCAACGCCGTTCCTAAGAAATTCAAGTACGTAGGGTACTTGTGGCGGGGCAGTTTCACAAGCAAGTATTAGGAAGGCAGGGTGGCAAGAGCATATACTTGTAGAGATATGGTTTTCTTCTTGAACGGTTGCTACTTCCCTTCAGTGTTCCATTACAGAAATTCGCCCTGGCTGGCAGTTTTCTCGCTTTCTTCGTATCAGATAAGAGAGCCCAACAGCACCTGCCTTTTGTTTTCGCAAGGCATGAAGAAATACAGGGGAGAAACCATTGTAGAGAAGAAGAATGGGGGACGTCACATGATTTAATGTCCTTGCACAATAAATGGCACAACGAAAAACCGACTTTCCGACACACTCATGCGGCACAACTACACATTACGGGAAGGCTCATGCTTGCAACTGGCACGCAATTGGAAGAAGGGGAAGCAGGCAATGGAAGTATTTGGCAAGGATATGTCCCACGTGCACCGATACTTATCATATCGAGGCATTTGCTTCTGCTTCAATAGCCGTCCCGTTTGGCTCGTTGCTCTTAGGATGAGGAAAGAAGTCTCCTTATCAACACTAGATACCAGACTCATAATATGAACTGCGTTTCCTTTTCTGTCATCTTCTCGAAAACTTCGAGAATGATTTTCTGCAAGAGTACTAGGGCAGGATCTCTCAATATCAAAAGCTTTGTCGTTATCCCCTTAATGAAGTTGACGTCTATGAAAGTGACAAAGTGTGAATCTGACTAACAAAACCACATGCAAGGCTCAAGAGTGACAAGTGATTCAATGTGTTTCCATTTTATTCAACCTCTCCTTTTCTTTGAGATGGTTGATGAAGGAAGGGGGTTATCATAGAGCAAGGTTCTTTGATGTCTAGCTGTATGTCTGCCAGAGTTACCCGTTTCTTAAATCAAGAAGTTGTTTTTAATCAATGTGAAGTGGTTGTGATGGTCCGAGCTCTGGAACAAAATTTATCCCCTCCGAACACCCACATGGACCATACTATTACAACTTGTGACATTCCAACAAACCTTTTCTAACCCTCTCAAAGAACCTACAACTCAGATGCATTCAATGATTTCTGTTAACCCACCTCCCCCCCCCAATGATCATTTCACGCATCGCCCCTACATCCTTGACCTAATCATCGACCAAAGAGACCTCAAACACCTAGGTATGGAATGAGCACCCCACCTTCGACCCTTCCTCAATTGTTCTACGCGACATACTCTCTTGGTAGCTCTGATTGGGGATTAAGCTTCTCGTAGAGTATGCTGAAATTTCCAAACATTCTCCTAGATATGCAGATACTTTGATGAACTTTGCACTCCAAAGCGTTTTGAGGCGTTTCGAATTCAAAGCCAACGCCCCTTTCCATTCCCACTCAATGCAGTCATCGATAGTTCAAGAAGGATGCTCAAATCGGGGAAATATTGGCAAATTCAAACGGTCAGACTCACCATGCCGTTATCTGCTGCTTTTATCGACTTCCACTCAGGAGATCTTGAGCTTGGAGCTGGATTATATTACCTACACCGTGACACACTCACGGCTTCATAACCATCACGAATTTTCCAGTCTTACATTATTGCTAAGCCTATTATCCTGTGATAATGAAAGACTAATTCAGTGGAACAGTGCCTTCATTGCTAGATTTACTGATATTCAGGCTGGTCTCACGTCTCCTATTAGGTTTAATGCCTTTGTGACAGCTCAGTAACTACCTTTGGGCTGAGAAGCTTTAAAGATCGTTGTATTGCTCGAAGATATGGCTTTTAAACTACTGCGCCGATTTATCACCTCAGTCCATCTTGATAGACTAACTACCCAGACAAAACAACTATCCCTCCCTACCAGCAGCTAATCGTTAACGGCTCAAGATTCCTTCCTTGCTTATTAAACGTTTCGGACAAATCAAGTTATCAAAAGCACCGAAGGTTGTCAGAGTAACTACACGGGGAGAACTCCGCTCCTCACTCTACAGCTAATGCACCAATTGTTCGCCAGAAAAGACGGATCCCGATGTCATATTATACCTCACTTCGATGTACCGTGATCCCACAGCCATTACCAGCTCTAGTCATCTGAGACGTACATTGCGATTGAATGACTTGTACTCGGTCATTATTGAAGGTAGCAATATATTTCCATGCACGATTACTGCTCGTATCCGGCGCAGTAGTTATGTCTCAGTATTTCACATGGCGGGATCAAGTTCGGAAATTGAAAGGACAAGAACTAGAGTAAAGGTACGAGTAGGCTGATGCTTGGAGTATCAAGTACTGGTGGCAAAGTCAATTCAGAATTGAGGGTGGAGGGGAAGGGAGGTTTAAAACTTTTGATGATACTTTGGACTTTGAACATGCAATGCCTCTCCACTCCTTTTGAGAGCTCGTGACATATGTAAGTCCCAAGACTCAGGTCTCGTTACACTTCACATTATGATGCTCATGAGGACCATATTCTTGCTCTTAAACATAGCTATGTAGCTTGGCTCTTGTTCCGTATGTGCCTCATAAGATTGAAGGTGCATTCACGACGATACCTTCCACTCCCACACGAACGTATCCGCCTGAGAGCTGTATCATACTATTCCGGAAGTTATCACTCCCAGAGTGCGCGAGTTCGTGCCACAATTTATCTTGAGGCATTGCATCGTCACACCTGAACTCTTGCCAAACGCATATCGGACCTGCATAGTTTTCACTAGATCCCATGAAAGGCTCTAGTCAACGACTAATACAAGCGTCATTATGTCCTTCAAGATCTTCGGACTCATCCCGCACCATTATTTCCTTATATCATTCCTCATTTAAGAGCCTAGGGAATGTCGAGCTGAGATAATCCGGTTCCTGGGTTAGGACTTCTGAGGGAGGTGCTGCAAGCGATGGCATACATTAGCATTTTGATGGCATAAAATAGAGCACCAGAACACCTTCCTAATTGTCGAATGCTGTACTCTATCTGCGAAAAAATTCACAGTTCATGCGGCTCCTTTTGAGCAAGAGGTCGATAGACTTGAGATCCTCTCTAGGGTCTCCTAGGTTAGGTCAAAGGCAACTAGATCTCTCGTGCATCTACCTCGTTCCAGCTGAGCGACTTCAAAATATGCCCTTAATGAAAGCCATGATGTTGGAACCGTGATCAACAAGTATCGTAGGCATGGTTAGTTTGACCTATCCGGGTTATTTCATCTCGTTGGCGTTTAGGCATACATGAAGACCATTGTTCTGGAGCCTTTCAAGTGATTATCCTAGGCCCTTCTAACCTTTGAGAGTAGCATCCATTCGGCTTTTAATTCTTAGTTTACGTCGATCCCGTATCTCTTATTTCGTAGTTTCTTTGATAGTACTTTCGAAAAGGGCGTTCTTCTTTGGTTTTCTGTAACTTTGTGACATTTTCCATCCTACACACAGCATATCATTGGTTTTAGAGGCGGCTCTTGTCGCATTGATGACTTCAGAATGGCTTATTAGCTTGCGAAGTTCGTCGTGGAGTAGAGTATTGTGTGTGGTTCCTTTCTTTCTTGACGGGAATCCGGCATTCGGACCAAGATAGATGATTGCCTTCGTTAGGATATCGAGATCTTTGACGTAGGTACGGGCAATACTAGCTTCTTCTTTGATCAGCTATTGTTGCTTCGCATAAAAATTTATTGATATAATATTAAAAAGAGCCTTGAAATCATGAAACTTACTGTGATGGGTCGTATTCTGTTTTTTCGAATGTGTCGCTCGAACGTCGGCGCAGGGGAACGCCCGGAGAGGCATTTCAGAGCTGCACCAGGGCATGTTCAGAGGAGGAGACTCACAACGAATTTTCCTGCGCGTTAACTGCTGAAAATAATTGAAACAGCAACAGTACATATATATTTGCGGCGGTCGTTGGAAACTGGTAGGTTGTGGAAAGAGAGATGTTTTGGTGGGGTCAATTTTCTCAAATGAACAGATTTATGAAGGGCTTCAGTCACATAAATTCGCAACGTTCTTTGATAATATGTCTTTATTTTGATGGATTTAGTTGTAGTATCTCAGATGTATTTCCAGTCAAGAAGATTAATCAATTCATTTATGAGTATTGGTATTATTCGATTGGGATTCTAGCCGCAGAATCACCTACTTCATAAACTAATCTGAGAGGACAGGAGACTCCAGCAGACTTGCACAATATCAATGCAAGTCAAAACCTCAGTAAATGTTGATGGGTGCTTGGCATGATTCTATGATACCACGTCACCTTTTTTGCTGGTGTCTGCGATTACTCTGGATGGCCTCATATGTCGTTTATACTCGAAATTTCTTCGTAGTGGCTCAATATACTAGTAGATTCTGCGCGCTCCAGACCCTACGAACCTCATCTTTTTCTAAGCTGCTACTGATCTAAAGAGGCCTTAATCTGAGGCTAAATACATTGTGAACGAAGCTGCTAGTACTATACAACAACCTCAAGGCTGGAGGCTAGCCTTTTCGATCTGGGCAACGCAAGTAGGCGGCCTAAAGACGGCCGGGTATCGTAACTAGCGTATTTTTGGTCTTTAACCCCACAATAACGAGATAAATCTCGCGTAGGCTTCTGTCTTCAGGTAATTTTGAAGTTAAATTCAGTTTCTCGCTGCAGAAAATTCTGAATCCTTACAACCTCAAAATCCAACCCAACAATCCTCCTCCCATCAACCAAACAACTCTCATAATGTCTTACCCGCTACCAACCCTTGGCGTGTTGACGCAAAAGAGCTTTAAAAACAAGCTCGTAAGTTTCGTCAACATCGATCTAATACTCTTGGCTTGAAGAATAACTAACATTTTTTACCTACAGGATGAACTTCACGAGAAGATTCTTGACAAAGACGATATAATCAACGATTTGTGGACAAGAGCACAGTGGGCCGAGCGAAGAGTGCTTGGGTTGACTGTCGAAATGGCTGGAAAGGATGCGGAAATCGTTGCTCTTAAGGCCGAGCTTGCTGCCGTCGGAGTACGTATATATCCTGCTGCGGCTGCACTCTTCCTCTTGACAGATCGTTAACAAATTATCTACAGGCTGGTCAACAGGCGAATCTTGGCGGAGGCGGGGAAGACGTGAGCGCTAAATAAAAACAAGAATCCACAAGTAGGGAGTGTCTGTGGGTGGGAACGTCGCGTTTGGCTCGTCTCGAATCAGTTTTGTTGTGCGGGAAGAGGGTGGTGCCCTAAAGAACCAAATCTTACTATCAAGGACTGCAAGGAGGTAGAATTGAACTGTTTTCTGCCTCTATTATACTTTCTATATATGCTTGTGACTCGCAATGATGTGAACAACCCTGATTACTCATTGCTTACTACATCCTCTTACTATCATAGACCACGAACGTTTTTCTTTGCGTCATTTCGGTTCTCAATTGTGAGAATTTGCTTATTAATTTAAAGGGTTGATATCGTTGAAAGTCTTTAGGCTCTTCGTGCTGTAACTATCCTGTGAATATAGAGATTTATGCCTCCAAATGAGCTCATTATAGGCTTCAGAATATGCTTTCAAGCGTACAGATAGCATATTGCTAGCTTTAATAGACTACTTCTAGTGTCTCTATCTCCTGGTGAGCAGCAAGCCTGAAATCTCGAAGAATGTATACTATCGGTGAGTTTCTCCCGGTTAGCTATCTCTCCGGGTAGTGACAATCACCTGACCCTAGCCCTAGATCTCGTGACTTGAACATTTCCAATATCTCTCATCTGAGTATCTCTCGTCTGAATCTTGAAATCGAGTATATTATTTTGACTAATATATCAGGGATTCTTAGCTCTCATACTTGAGCGTACTATCTTCCTTCTTTCAACTATCTTTATGTAATAAATTAACTCTAAAAGAAAAACCTACACTAAGTACTTGTCGTACATTATCCAAATTTTAACTAATATAGTCGAATATACATTCATATTCAGTAATTAAGATATCTCGTCTCTTGTGCTCGAATTTATTATCTTGATTGTTCGTAACATAGTTATATAAGTATTGAAACAAAGTAATCATAGTTCTCATCTATATGTATACAAGAAGTCTAGTATATTTCTTTTATAGATATTAGTAGTTCTCGTTTAATATATTAAAATCTATAGTCTCAATTCTTCTTATTGTATTCATATAAGTAATTATAATTCTAAGATTAATTTTAGCTCGATATTCAAGAGTTATCATCTAAATAAAGTTATAGACATCTAGTCTTAAAAAATAAGAGTTAGACTACTAATTATATCTAATCTCGTATAGTGAAAAGATAATTATCGTCTTCTCTATCTTACTATATAATTCTAGATGAGTAAGTTCGTTCAGACTTTCTAAAAATTGGTTAATTTAGATTAAGTCTAATTATCCCAATTTCTTCTGATCAAATCAGATATTATAGAAATTCGATCACTGGGAAATCAACCTTAGGATATTAATTCCTTTAGAAATTTAACTAATATAAGAAGTTCTCGTTCTATAGAATCTAGATGAGTATTTTTATGACTTATGTTTATCTATAAGTTCTTACTTCTATTTCGCTTAAAGGTCAGATTTGATTACTTTTATTGTCATATTAGATATACTCATTGAGTCTCTAATTGTTACTATAACGAACTCTTACTAGTCTTCAGACTAATATATAATATAAGTTTATCTAAACTATATCTTGAGGATTATAGTTATAAATCTTATAGTAAATTACTAAGACATTGAGAATAGCTAAGAGGATAATAGATCAGAGTATATTATAGTTATTTTCATTTCATAGTAAACCACTCTTGTGCCCTACAATAAGAAGACAAGATACTCTTATATGCCTTAGATTTCATAATAGAATCTAAGAGGTATATATTAATTTAATAAGAGTATAGATGACGTAGTACCTACGATGATAGGTTTCAATTATTAATATTATATTTTATCTAAAGAGCTAGCTATATATAGGAAGAAGTAATCCTTATATGCTTGAGACTAGCCTTCTCGCTTAGTCCACTATAACAGTCTAATGACTTAAGATTATTTATCTATATTTATATAGTATGAAAATAAAACAAGTACGATTTCTAGAACGTGAGAGTTGTCATGTCTAGGCCCCTGCCTAGTGAATGGTATAAATAGTTACATGATAAATCCCTATATAGGTCTTGATCTTGTAGGAAGACCCGAAGACTACTAACTAGTACATGGCGAAGATCACTGTCAACTAGTTGGACATTCGAAGCCTTTGAAACGGTTCACAAATTTTATGTTAGTATAGCAGGAGTTTCTTCCAACAGCTCTCCATTTTGACTATCTTGAAACTCACTCTATTAGTAAACTCGATCCGATATAGGAATGAAGGATGTATGGATTAAGGGGTACATGGAGCAAGGATTCGCAAAAAAGGATTATTTGAGGGAATCGAGTTAGAAAAGGAGAGCTTTATATTATTATCTTCCCGACGAAGGGGTGTGTTGAAAGTTGCTAGCATAGAAGCTGACTTTGTACATGAGCTTATTTAGAGCTCTCCTTTTTCATAGAACCTTCAATCAAGACAACTGATTCTACAAACCTGCCTCTGGTGATTCGATACTTCAGTGGATGTCTATACTCGTAACAAAACTATCATTATAGTGTGTAATTATAATTATCGAGAATATAGCGTAGGTCGTGAATATCTCCGTTATTTTTCGTATTCTTGAGATGTTGTCACGGTAGCTACTTGGTCAGAATTTGATTCCACAAGCGAGCATGATTTTTTTTTAATTCACTATCAATAATAGATAAGTTCTTATTAAGATTATTCTTACACGACTATTATCAAGATCTTTCATGTCTGAGGTGATGTCGATTATTAGATGAAGTAGTAATATAAGAGTAGATGTCATGGAGTGAAGCGGGAGAACTATAGGGACCAATGTTTCCTATTGATATTAGAAATTTTGGAGAGAGAAGAGAGCTCAATTACGAAAAGAAACTGTATTTATATCCCCCTGCTTAGCTTCAAGTACACACACTCCTAACATTTTCCCTTTTTTGACTTTGCGTCCTCGTGAATTTGTTTGCGTGAGACGAGTACAGTTGACGTACCACCCACGTTATAGGTCCTAATGTTCAACACTAAATTCTGTCTAAAGAGCTGGAAAGGTACACGAAGAAGCAATCCCTATATATTGAGACTAGTTCTCTCACTTAGTGTACTGCAGTAGCTCAGTGACTTAAGGTCATTCACCTACGTTCGTACAGAATTAGAATTGTGTGATCAAAGAGTGAATGAATGACTTCAAGTCATTTATAGCTTACTGCAAAGGAGCTAGCTCTACAGCAAGACCTATTTAAGCATCACTTATTCTATACATAACTAGCTCTTCAGATAAAACACAATTTGCCGATTAGAGCCTACATAATAGGTTCTACGTCATTAGCATAACTCTCAAACCAACAAGAATCATCTTCACCAGGAAGAAGCGGGATCAAAAATCGAAACCTCTTTTATCAAAAAGGAGTAGGGATAAAATTGCGATCACAAACGTTTATATCTTAAAGCCATTCAAGAATTTGAATGTAAATACAGACTCTCAGTGCTTTCGAAGCTATTCAGGAAATCGAAGTCGAAGTCGAAATCGAAATCGGAATCGGAAAACTTACTCGACGAGTCACGATACCTGAAGATTCTACATTTCAAGTCAATTCTATGATAAAGATCATTTCAATATTAAAGATCATTTTGATAACGGAGAATTAAATAATTAAAAAAAATTGACTCTTGAATTGTGGCCTGAACTATTGAACAACCCGCGGCAGGGAAGCTCAGATGACGATATGAAATTATTATTTGATTGAAAGATTCACACATATACCATGCTCTAATGAAACTACTATCAAAAGAGTGAATACTGTTTGTTCTTATCAAATAAGCTTCTCTCAATACATCCTTCGATTAATGTACAACAATTTTTATCGAATCGCGCCAGTTCTATGTCATTATCCTGTATTCCAACACCCCAAAACCCGATCCTTCCAAATCAAACCCAAAACAACAAAAAGAAAACCCTGGTTCTTCACTATTGGGTAACATAATCTTTCCTCCCCGTGATCAGATGCTCCAAATTTAGCCTCGCACTCCAAACGATCATACTTTTGATTCCCTTTTTCTTTGTACCTTGCGCATCTCCCTTCTCCAAACTATTAACATCACTATCCTTGTCCGTCTTTCCAGCCGGCTTATAATGTTGAAATAATTGAGGTTCCACCGAAAAACATTTCATATCTAAATACCCATCACGACAAAGAGACGCAAGTGCATTATCGACAGGAAGATTATTGCCGCCTTTTACCGCAGCCATGAGAATCTTCTGAGCTCCACGATAGGAAACGGCATATCCCAAGGTACATTTGGGAGCACCGGCTTTATGAACTATACGCGTCTTTTCGGGATAATCTGCGAGGGCTTTAAGATACGATTGAGAAGACTTGGGAGCAACAGTTCCGTCATTGTCAATCCTGTAGAGCCCATCCTTTTTCCCTTTGTGGAAAACAGAGGGAAGCTCATCACCACAGTGACCTGGCCACAATATATCCCAGTCATCGCCGTAAGGGGAATGTTGACGTTGAGAAAGTGGGATGTGTGATAGAGTGCGGATTCCCTTGGCGAATTCGGGGAGTTGGGTTCGGAGCCGGATATCCCAGTCAATGTCGTCTTCCATAATCAATGCTGAGGCAAGTTTGTTTTCTACAATCCTGTGTAATAGTAATGAGGATTAGTAACGAATCATTCGTGTGTTCTAGAAGGTAAACTGATAGTAGATAGTATGTACACACCTTCGTATGACATTCATGTGACCACGCCAAGGACCCGTCGCCCCTCCATTTAAAAAATGACCCTAAGTCAAAGCGTTAACTTGCGTCCTAGTCCCATTGTCCCAATGTGCAGTGAACAAAGGGTGCTGTTGTATGGTAAATTTCACATACCGGCGGCTTAGCCTTATCGACTACTTCATCGCCTTTAATTCCATCTACAAATTCTACCTCAAATCCCGTCAGAGAGGCAGATAATACTATCGCATCCCGTTTGTCTGAATGTTCTCTCAGCCCTATGACCACTACTTTCTCAAACTAGTCGGTTATTGTGTTAGCAAGCTATATTCGCCCAACAAAGATTGGAGGAGGGTGATACGTACACCAAGAGTCGCATTACTGGCTCGACCTATTTCCGAAATGGTATCGGCTGGTATAAGCTTCTCGTCGGAAGTGGGGGAGACGTAGTTGCGGATATCTGAAGATGACTTATCTGAGTAGTCTAACCATGTTGAGGATTTTGGTGATTCCTGGCGAGTCTGGAAAGAGATAAGGGTGATGAACACGAGAGCGACAAACGCGCCAAGAAGATAAGGGCGGGAGCTTCGGGGGACCATGACTGTTCTAATATTCCATATGCCGATATTGATTATGAGGGGTACATAAGATAATGATTATCAAAAGGTTACATTGGAACGGGAGTATGCAAAGTTGCAGAAGATAGGGAGGTCGAGGACAGACTGGCCGAACGAAATTGTCTTATTTCGTGATTCAGCAAGAAATTTCCTAATCTTCGGGGTATATGCATTGTGGAGCCATCGCTCAAGAGTTAAAATAGAATAAGGATCTCGAAGGAGGCATTAACCTTTTTGTGCCTGGGCGGCTAACGGGGGTAACCCAGACGCTAATCACACCACACGCCTATCATTTGTTCTGTTTGAAACGCGAAGCACGTGAAACGATAAATTAAAGAAGAAAGATGTGATCCGGTAAGCTGGTACCACATCAGGGGCTGGAGATTGCTATCACATTATCGGCTCGGCTAGCGCTCGGCGTTTAATGCCTCTGTATGCCCTGTGTTTTTCCGAGTCAAGGGTCCCAAATCAGGAAGAAAAAGAATGATTAAAGCGTGACAACATGAATATCAATACAATCAATTGGGAGTGATGTTGAAAGTTCTAATGGTATTTTCTGTGACACTTCTATATTCCATTAGAATTGCTGATTGCCACGAATCCATCTCCAAAAGCTACGAGGTTTTTAGTGAAAGGAAAAACTCCAGATACTCCCTTGCAGATCGTCCAGGGTTCAAACGAATCCCACCTTTTCCATCCGAATCTGGTAGCAAAGATTGAGGGACGCAGCAACTGCAAGATGTGATTAGTCATGTGACATAGTTTTGCTAAGAGGGGGCCAATTGTATTGTGCTATGTCTGTGAGGTTCGCGCTTCAAACTATCGCAGCGATTACACTGTCCAAAATTAGCATCCCTTACGATGATCTTGGCACGGTCCCGAATACCTTACACTCCAAAGCCCTTCCATGGATCGGAGATGTCGTTCAGTTTTCTTTCTCTTCAATTCTTGTATTCATCGCACCGTTGCTCTCAAGATAATATTGCAGTCGATGATACATTGAGAAACGCTCTTCTTTCAAAAACATGGCGCAGAGATGGACTTTTGAGGTACCAGTCAACGTCACTGCCACTTCTCTGGTGAACCTCACGTGGGCACCTCATACGTTCAATGTCGCCAAAAATGGGGATTTTCTTCTAAATCTATGGCTTTTGCGCGCCGATTCGCAAGATAACACAGTAGTTCAAAAATATGCACCTTTTCTTCTTGCGGGTAAGTTATTCCGATTCATTTTGCAATGTAAGTACTAAGATTATGAAAGGCAATCAAGATGTCTACAATTCTTCCGTTCTATGGACACCTACAGTCGATGATATCGATTTCAATGTTTCAGCGGCCGGAATGCATCAGCTGGCATGGGAACATAGTTCAAATAATACAAGTCTCAATTCATCAAGCACAAAACTTGAGGCGTGGTCAAGGGGATTCCACATTATATCGCCGGTCTCCTCAAGCACTTCTTCGACATTACTTTCCGCCCCATCATCAACCTTATCAAGTTCAGCAACTCTCGCAAGCTCAACATCTTTCGCGATCTCCACAACCTCAGTAGCCTCAACCACCCCAATAACCTCAGCCGTCTCCCAAGAACCCGCCCAACAAACCGCCTCCCCAACCGGACCTAGCAGGGCCCTCACCATCGGGCTGGTAATCGGAATCGGAATCCTCATCATAATCTCCCTCTCTGCTTCATTCTGGGGATTCCGAAAATACCGACGGGCAAAGAAAAACTCCCCCCTCAAACTACTCTCCACACCCCCCGACTCACCATCAACCTCAAACTCACAAATGTCTTACAACTCACCAACCAACTCGTTACCAAACACAATGATACCCCATGAATACTACACGCCATCTACAAATCCACCACTTGGTGCAACGCCGCATTCAATGCCGAACTCAACACCACACGAATACGACAACCCACCTACAAACTCACCACACGAATACTACCACCCACCTACGCATGTATCACCCAGCTCAATACCGCACCCAGCACCCCACGAATCCCACATCTCCCCTACAATTTCCACCCCCGACGCCACACCACGTGAATACCACGCTCCGTCTACAAACCTCGTACCCGTAGCTCGTGCAGAACTCCACTCGTATCCCGTTTCGTATCCGATTCCCGCACCGGCGCGTGATAGGTCTATGGATAAGTTTTTGCCGGGAGATGTCAAACCGGCTGAGTTGGAGGGTCATGGGAGGAGCGTGGAGATGTAGTGTAATGTATATGTTGAAGCGGGGCGGTGTGGTGTGGTGTGGTGTGGTGTATTTAATTTTGGGGTGAGGGATAGTGCGATGAGAGATGTGATTTGATGTATATATATAATTTGAAATATGGCTGGGAATGAAGAGGAGTATCTTTTCCAGATGGATAGAGGGAGTGTGTGGGGTTTTCTTCTTGTGTATAAATATTGGATTTCGAGATGGGGTTCATCAACCTGGAGCTGGGTTGGTGTTTTGTACGAGATACCATTTTTGGGTGTTATTTATGGGTTGGATTGCATCGGATTGTACACGAGCTGGAATGTGGGAAGTAGAAATGAGCTCTTACGTGGGTATCGATACTTACTGTATAAAATGCTCTCATCGCTATCCATACGAAAGAGAAGAATGGAAATCTCTAGTTACCCCCTACAGTACTTCACCGCTGATTTCTGCTAACCACATTACTATTTTCGAATGCATATAAACCAGATTGGTAAATCCACCACGATTTCCCTCACAAAATCGTTTCTGCCCCCGACATATCAACCCCCCCCCCCCCCCCCCCCCCCACCTTCCCCCATCCAAATCTCCGCATCCCATGAACAAAACCAATCAAACATCAAACACATCTCACCATCTCCCATCCAGAATTCATACTGGAGAAGAGGTCCGATGTAAATTTCCGAATAGAGAGATGGAGTAGAGTAATCACTACATCACACTCTCCTCTCATCACACCCTCCCCTCATCACACTCTCCTCTCATCACACCCTCCCCTCATCACACCCTCCACCACCGCGCGCTCGACTCCATAACTTATAGGATACGCTATCTCTCACGAAGTATATCTCCCAGAGTCCGAACGCTTTTCTTTCGCAACTCACATTCGTTCCGTGTGTTGAGTATACCTAGATACCTACCTGGGTATTGCTTGATAGCCCACTGAGAATCCAACCGGGTGTTGTGTACGTCATTTATGATTGGAATTTTAACTACTCAGTGATACATCCCACGTCAGTTTTCGTTCGCTTGAACGTTGACTACTGTAGCTAGCTATCTACTTATGTATACACTGTGTTGGCTAGAGTGATGGACCGTAGAAGCCGTAACTGTCCACGGAGCCAAATGTCTCTCATGGAGTTGAAGAATCTTCTTGTCTCGTGCCAAAATGTATAAATATAAATCTTTCTTTCTTCTTCAAACGCTCAAGGAGACGCTAAGAAAGAGTAATAAATGTGAATATAAATAGACTGAAATGCATTGAATAACTAAAAGGAATTCCATTCCCCCGTAGCCTGATTCCTAAAGCCTAATCCAAAAAGTACTGAACAAGATAATCCAACCCCAAAATCGGTATCCTAAACTTGTAACTCCATTCCATTAATCAATCAATCAATTCGAATTCCATCCCAAGCAATCCGTCAAACAATGCTACAGTATCAAAAATTCAGTCATTAACCCATCCGCATCCATGTCTTCCAACCTCCAACCGGGACCCACTTCCCTCTCTCCATTCCACTCCGCTCCTCAGCATCCAGCCACACACCCACCCACCCACTTACTTAGTCATGAAACCCAACCAATCCGCCACGATCAATGTCACCATAGCATGCGGAGCGATCCTCACATAATACGTACCAAACCCTCTGTAAAATCTCATCATGCCTTCTTCTCTCGCGACCTTCACAAAACAATCTCTCATTCCCTTGTAGACCCGATCTTTTCCTCTCCCCTGTTTCTGCAGCCTCGTCTTCACAAAATCAAATGGCAGACTGAAGAAACTTGCGAAGAAGCCCGCGACGGCCGAAGCGGTAAGCGTTTGTGTTTTAGGGTTCCAATCCGTGCGTGTCTTGAGTTGTGATTTTGCTTCGGAGAAAAATGCCAGCTGTCCGAAATTCAGAGCCATGGCTCGCACAACCGTGGGTGCGCACCCCGCCCAGAGAGCTGTGATGCCTTCGGACTTGGTAATGGATGCGAGAGCGTCGATGACGGATTTGTAGTTTTTGCGCTCGGCGAGAGGTTTCAATCCATCGGACTGCATGCGGATCAGAGCGAGATCTGCAGGATTGCCTATCATGGCTGCCAAGCCGCCAGCTGTGAGACCTGCTGCGGCGCGTTCTTTGAAGCCGATGGTGGTATTGTTTTCTTTTGAGCGAGCGGAGAGGGTCGTCATGAAACTATCGAAGAAGCCAAGACGGGCGGTGGTGTAGACGGCTTGGCGGAGGAGGCCTGCGCTGAGACCGGTGTAGAGGTCTAGTGCTTTGCCGGACGCGAGAATCTCGCGGGTAACGGATAGAGGGGTGGGTTTGGGACCGGTGCGGATTCCTTCACCGGCGAGTTGGAGACGCACTTTTATCATGTCGATGGGTTGGATGACGGTGGTAGCTGTCATGCCGGCGAGACCTCCGTTGATGAACGGGAGAGCGGCACGCATGAATGGTGTATGGAGGATATCGTTCTTCACAGCTATGGGATCTGCTTTGGCAGAGTCGGCAAGTCGTTTGGTCGTTTCCATTGCTTCTGATGTTCTATTTCGTGCTGCTTCGGCAGCTTGCTTGATGGAGTTGGTGGTGGACATTGTGGATGGTTTGATCAAGGGGATGTATTTGAATGCAAGGTAGATTGATATGAGATTGAGCAGATGTCTTGCTCTGTAGGCAGTCGTGAATTGTTAGCCCGAATGACTCTATATCTTTCACGATGGAAGAATAGACGTGGGACATGGTGTTTATATGTACATAGGTATCCAAGAACGACCTTGATTCTTGCGGGCTGTGGGGAATCTAACCCATATAATTGGACTATTTGCCTCGATCCAAATAAAAGAGCCAGGCGTCATCAAACATATGAACGGACGTGGGAGGGATCGGGAATCAGTCCGGAAACAAACGAAGGCCTTGGGAAGTTCGAGAGAGGCATGCGAAATCGGTATGAGCGGTAAGAGAGATAACCTTGGTAAAGAAAATCGAACAATAGAGAAACATCAATTACTCACTTGAAATGCTCCGTGTGCCGGATTATTCCAACCGGATTACCGTCGCGTACCTCTGGGACAGAAAGTGGGCTTGGCTGGTAGTATTTGGGTCGATATGCACGGTCGATCGTCTACCTAGTCAATATCAATAAATAATGTACAGCCCTGTGCTGATAAGACAAGATTCACCCAACGTCGTTTACGATGTGGCTGTGAGATGATGTCGAGAAATGAAGCTGGAGGTTTCGTGACAAAGTAAAGTAAAATCAAATCAAATCAAATAAAATGCATCGGAAGACAAGCTCGACAATGATTAAGTATGCCGGGCTTGCTGGGTTCAACGCATTGGTTGGATGATGTTGAGTTCCCGTTGGCCGACTTGGTATCCTGAAGCAAGAGTGGTAGGATCAATTGTTGGGTGCGGGGTCGAAGGTTTGATTTGATTGAATCTTGTTTGTTTGGCTGCGGCTGCAAGGCACTTCTTGTGCGCAGAGGGTTATTGAGTTTGGTGAGATGATGCTATGCCTGCTCTGGTATAGATGCAAAGGTTGTTCTTCTGCCCACGAAAGATGCTGCCATGGATGCTACTATTGATGCTACTATGGATGCTACTATAAATGCTACTGCGAATGCGAATGCGAGTGATGATTCTCTCCTCTCCTCTCCTCTTCATGTTCTGTGGCTATGGTTATCGTGCCAGGGTTCAGGTTTCTCATTTCTTGGTTTCCCGAGGTGATACTCGAAAGGTGTGATGTACACAGGAGTTAGCTACCTCCCCAATGGAGGATATAGAATGCTATCTCTCAGCCTGATGTAATTGCTTGACGCATAGTGATCTGTTTTCGGAGATGCTTCATGTCATACAACAGGGACAACAAAGAAGAAGGGATGGCTTTAGCCTTGTTACATAGCCACATGATTGAAATTTATCTTTTCGAGATGTTGATCTATGATGAATGTTTCTCTTTGTGCAGGATGGATGTCGATATGAGTTGCACGGAGAGAATCTCATGGTCTCATCCTCATACTCACACTTATATCCTCATGCTTATATTATCCTTATACTTATCCTTGTATCATTCTTACATTCATTCTTATATCATTCTTATATCATTCTTATATCATTCTTATATCATTCTTATATTCATCCTTATCCTCATTTTCATCCTCATATTATCCTTATCCTCATCCTCATCCTCATCCTCATCCTCACTCTCGTCCTCATCCCGATATACTCGTACACCAGCCATCCACACGACGATAGATCCATAATTCCATGCCCGTGGAGTTGCATCGTCTCACTTGGCAACCCTTTGCTTTGGGACCTTCAAAGGTCTCCAGAGATTCACAAAAATGCGGGGTAGCTTATACTCTAAATGCTCTAGCGTCACCACAGCCAATAACACATCCCTTCCTATTGCGATGGGGATAACGCGGCATCTTTAGTCTCCGCTCTCCCGTGATTTGAATGAACTTGAGACATGAGACACGATTTTCCACGCGATTTATTTTCTTTGGATTGTTATCAATCTTCACACTATCACTTCGCTACAAATAGATCACGCATTGTTTTCCATCTTCTCTTTAATAAAAAAATCAAATTATAAGACAGACCGACCGACAGACACACACGCACACATACACACACACAGAATAAATCTCCTTCATGCATCACACTTTCTCCTAGGCAGGTAGATACCAAAGGCTGAAGTGAGTCTCGGCCCTTCCATCATTCTACCGTATCTTCATCCCGTTACACCAAAATAGCAAAGCTCACGCTCACTCACACTTGTCAAACCTCATCAACCAATCTGCTTGCACCTATTTAAATAGCTATCCAGCTTAGCTCCCCACAATCCCATACCCATACCCATACCCATACCCATATTCATACCCATATTCATATTCATCGTCAACAAGCGCCATCAATTTCCCACAATCGTCTCTCAATCCGTGTATCAATCAAACATGGTTCCGATAATTTATCGTTCTCCTATTGCGCATGCGATATCGCATTCTTCCGCGGCTTGCTCTGGATGATACAATTCAATATAATGAAATGTGTGGAAAAGTCTTGAGATCTCGAGTCATCGAGATTCGAGCATATCAGGAAAACTCTCCACCACCGGAAATTGATTCCTCCGCGTCGAATGCGTAACCGTAAGTGCCCGAGATTATGCGATGGGAAGCGAGTGGAAAGGTGCGTGGGGGTGGAGGATGGGGGGTGCACGGTGGAGATTCTCCGTGGAGAGATATATGAACTATTTGGTAGTCGGATTTGTGAAGACGAAGCGATGGAAAAATTATTCATCGTGCGCTCTACAGCTTTGTTGGTTGGTTGATGTCTCACCATGGAGGTATTAGCTCAATCTTCTCCTATGGCTCTATTGGGTTGATGCATTCACGATATAGAATCAAGGACAACCCGTGGAATTATCTAGAGGAATTATCTAGAGCAAGTGCATATATCATCATCACCCAAAGTGAACACACCGAGGGATGGAAAAGGAGTAGCTTTCCTGATTGATAAGCTGATGTTGTTAAGGAGTCATAACCTTGTGACTACCACCGCCATCAAGACACTTCATCCCACTTCGCTAATGCCTCGATTGAGATGATAGGATCATATCAAATCAGGGATTGCCTATCAGCATTATCCCCTCTTCATTCTATTTCATCACCTCACCCTCTCTTTCCCTCTCTTTTGGCTCACCGGTGCCGTTCAAATCAACTTCTTGTGGATAGTTCCCACCATAACTATCATCGTACTCTTCCACCCAGCCTCCAACACCTGCTAACTGCCCGTCTTGTGATCCAGGATCGAGTATGACTTCTTCGGACGTTGAGGATTGGTCACCTCTTATAGTCGATCTGCTGGCAGTTGAAGCAGAAGTAGATGCTATTGCAGATCCATTGTCATAGCGATGATGTTCACATTGTTGCTGTCCCAGGGCGAGGTGATGGCAAGCAAATAAGTTCTTCTCTCTGGTTTATGTCAGCATCTGGTATGAGAGCAAGGATTGGTATATAAATACGTATGTGGAGCCTGAGGCAAATTAATACCTCTAACTGTACTACTACTTGTCGAAGCAGTCGTAGAGGTATTGTGGTCATGATTATGTTGAGCATCCAAATCCTCCTTCCTATCACGGGTTAATCTACCGATGCTTTCATGTTGGAGGTGAACATACTTCTTTGAAGTCCTAGATTGAACGGTTTCTTTAGTCAATTCTTTGGTGGCTGGGTCAGAGTTGATGACTGAGGCAGAGGTGGATGTAGATGCATGGTTATGGTGATGATGATGTCGGTGGTGGCGAGCAGGTGCTTTCTCTTTTGAATCTTTCCTAGTCCAATTAGTTGAGTGGTGGCGGAGAAAGAGATTGTACTCAGTACATTGACGCTTTCGAAGCTTGAGCCATGGTTCAGTGAATGCCGAGACAAGTGCTCAGAAGCTATAGTTTCTTAGAAAGTATCTATATCGATTCCCACTGCTCAACATGATAGAGGGACTCAAGATATAGAAATACTTCAGGAGAATTTACTTGACTGCCTTTCACGCATCATGTTCCCTCTCTTCTCCAAAGAACGCGTCTGAGAATATACGAACAACTTGACCACGTATCTGATTCAGCAGTACCAAGCAAGTCATCTCGAGTCCTGATCCCAACTGAACGGTAGATTAAGGGGGTAGCTATGGATGTGTTTTGAATAACATATCACAATGCTCGTTGTTTAATTGGATAACTCAGGTACTGGATGATTCGATGACAACGAACAGGAAGAATGTCTTTGAACGCGAACCAGGAAAAAATTCTTCTCGTACGAGAGTTCACATCATTGGCACGATTTACATCGATACGTCATTGTATTACCTGTAGCCGCCAGGAAATGTTGAAATACGTGGTTTGAAATAGATTATTGCTTGAACCGTGATTGTAGGGGACAACACACGTCGCATACATGAGAGGCTTTCGGGCGTATAAGCATACCATACAGATGTATGTACTACCGCGTGAGGTTACACGACTTGTGAAAATTTTTCCCCGCGGTGTGACGATTGCCCCTCAAACTCAGCCCTAATCTCGATAAATCTGGTTCTTAGGGTCGCTTTCTACACTGATTGGCGATCTCCACCGGCAACCAGTTCCTGTGATGCGGCTGCTTGGGACTCGAGTCAAGCTCGAAGATACCGTTCCAACGGCTTGGGTATTCCCAGCCTCTTCATACTTTCTGCATGTAAGCCTCCATGTCTTACAAAGCAACATGAGACGGCACATGGACAATTAAATATAGGTAAAAGTCTACGGCATGACGAGATTTTGGAAGGGATATCCCTCGTGGGATTCACCAGTTGTCTCTAGACGACATTTTTTTGCTTTTGTCTGGAAATGATTTGGAAATTTAAGAGTTTTACTACAGTGTGTCGAATATTCCACACTGGGTTCTGGAATAGATAGATTTTAACTTTGGCTTTTGGATATTTGTGAGTAATCGGATGAGGTTGGTAAGGATAGGTACTTGTTACTTTACTCATCTCTCTATCTGTCTACCTCAATAGATAGTTTTGGTGTTGATCATGATTGCAATATTCATACTCAATATTTATCTACAAAATTCATCTACAAAATTCATCTGCAAAATCCCAGTTTTGTCTCACGAACTTGAGATTAGGAAAATTCGATTCGATATGATGAAGTAAAGTGCTTTTTCCATCGTGATGTTGAGAATCCTGTCAAGCGAATTGGTGAGGTGGTTTGTGTGTAGGGGTGTTGGATTTGAGGAGACATGGATTTGTGGGATTTGTGAGATAGGGAAGAAGCGATAACATCCCCATTGTAAGAATCGAACAAACGAGCGGTGGAAAGCGTGGAAGTGGGTAGAGCGCGATCCTGTCTAGAAGGTAGCGGGTGAGGAAGGAAGGTGAAATTTTTTATGAGAAGGGGATATTGGTTTGTGGGATTTGGTTTTATTGGAATGTGGATAGGTAGGTAGACAGGTAGACAGGTATATTGACATCACAGTAGATTTTTGGATGAAAAAGGAGTGGGCAGATTTAACTCTGGCGTTTCACGAGAATCTGAAACGAGAATTGTGTTTGTAGGTGAAGAGTGGGAAAGAATGGGGTTCGTTCTACGCAAGTATGCAGATCAGGAATCGTATCCCCGTAATCTCGTTGTGAGAGGGTCTGTCTGTCTGTCTGTCTTTCTGTCTGTCTTTGATTTCTTGGCTGCATCGTGTGTCGGATGTGATACTTTGTGGGTGTGGAAATGGAAATGGAAATGGACAAGTAGGATAGATCGAGAAGGGAAATGAGGATCAAGAAAGAAAAGGGACATCGATTCACGGAGCTATACGGATGAGAAGATGGCTTTCGAGAAAAAGTACTACTGCGATTGATAAAATGGTTGGCTGCAAATAGAGAGGAGAAAGGTAGAAGCTCATTTCCTACTCCAGAAACAGGACAAGAACAATAAGAAGACGAAAATGTGAGTATTTCAAGATACAACATCGTTAGACATCGTGCTTCAAATCATGGAACATTCGGTCGCAGACACAGACTATAAAGTAAGCTTGCAGCCCAATGCTCAAAGACGCTTCAGATCCACATCGAGGTTGTTCAGGAGAGATACATAAAGCATTCGCATATCAAGTCGGCTACTGTTCACACAACACATTACATCGTCCAATTTTCATTCACTATTCCACGAGAATCAATCAAGAGGATCAGTGCAGAATACAAAAGTACCTAGATAGGTAGGTAAAAATCTCGCGATTCTCTCCACTTTCCTCGCATTCCCGGGCCCATCCAGCACCCACCAGCCGAAGAGGTATTTTAAAGCAGGAAAAGAAGGTATCTATCATACACCTCATAATTAATTTCTCCATCAGATTAGACCAGCCATAAAACGCCCAGCCGCCATACTGAAAAATTTGCGCCCGCTTCCTTATTAGTTGATCATTTAACATATCATGTGCATGGTTTTCCTAATTGTTCGCAAATATCCCGAAATACCGCCCCTTCACTCCATATCCCAGATGGATGCCCCTGTCAACCCTGCGTATCCTTGATTGCGATGAGAAGATCTGTCATATAAGTTGCCTGTTTAGATGGTATCGAATTAGTATAAATGAAAAAAAAAAAGATTCATTGAGAAAGATAAAGTTGAGTATTCAACACTATAAGTCATAAAGATATAAATTGTCTCCCCACGACCTTGCGGTCAATACGGATGAACGAAAGTTATGTAAATTTGTTTTGATAATCATGTGAGAGTTGCTAGACAAAGAAAAATTTGAACCGAGAAGGGAGTTTTGAAAAAAAGATAGAACATAGCATACCAAAATCTTATTATGCGCATAGATAGCAAATAATCTCGGTTCCACCGGCTTAAACAACCGATCAACCCAGGAAACTTCACCCTCCTTGAGAGCCGCCTCTTCTGCTTCAGTCTTACTGACATTCCTTGCCAAGTTTCGGAGAACGAGTACTGCACTAAGTGGAATACCGGCTGCATCATTATGCTCATCGACAGCTGTGAAGTGGTATTTGAAGCTTATACGAGGTGGCTGGACGATGTATGATGGTTTGTGTTTCTTAGCTGGCGGAGGACCTGAAGGTTCTTGTGATTCACGTTCGCTAGCAGGGGTACGCTTAGGAGGGAGATGAACTTTGATGTGAGTAGCAGCTTCTGAGAGTTTGGTGGCAGGAGAGGAGCGGAAGCGAGAACATGTATCCCATGCGCAAACATATTGTTGATTTGAGGCCGAATTGACGTATTTATTGTCCGCATTAAGTTGGGCGCCAAGATGAGTCTTGAGAATATGTTGATAACCTGCTTCAGGAGTCATGTAGAATTCTCCGCATGGCTTTCCGAGATGAGTGCGCCATAAGCATTTGGTGTATGCCTCTCCTTGTAGGTCTACTGGCTCACTGCGGCATCGAATGCCTTTGATGATGAATTTTGTTACGGGGCCGTTTTGAACTTGTGCATTTGCTTTGTCGCCAAAGGTCGTGCTTACATTCTTGATAAAATCTGCAGCGGGAAGAAGTGGTTTTGATGTTTGTGTGGCCAAGTAATTAAATTGTTGTTGATAGGCGTGCCACAAGGCAATTTGCGTGATGGACTCATCGGGATCTTCTTCGTAGAGGCAACGCAGCCAGCGTGAACTGCGCTCTGGTTCATCAAACTTGGCAATTTCGAGTAGTAAATCTTGTGGAATGGGCGCAATCTCTGAAGGTGCAGGCTTTCTGTACTGAGTTCCAAGGTTAAACTCTTTTTCTATGATGCGAGCGCCATGCATGAGGAGCCGTGTCAACTGTTTGACCAGTGGCTCTGCTTTTACCTCTGTGATAAGGTAATCCACATTTTCAACAACCGCGGTGTACTGATAGAGGAAATCCAAACAAGCATGGGCAAGGTCTTCGTCATTTAGCAAGGTCCAATCAATAATGTTTTGCACAGCGGATGCTGGCACACCCTTAAGGAGATTGTTCTCCTCAAGATTCATTGATATTCTGCTGATAGCTCTCAGGGAAGTCAGGATAGCGCCTCGGTCGTGTGAATCCAATTGTGCGAGGAGTGAAAGGTATAGGGGATCTCCGACCTCAAAGTGAAGATACTTGGTAAGCTGTTCGGCGATGTCTAAAGCGTAGTGTTTTAACTCTACAATGGCGTCGGAATTGGGGAGGTTCAAGGCAATGGTGAGAAAATCTCGTAGAGGTGCAATTTCAGATACGTAGAAGGCGTTTTCCTCTAACATTACCATGTTTCTCATTGTTAATGCTGCCTCGTTGATCTGAAGAAGAGTATCACTGAATTCTTCGGTTAGAATATTGTCATCAACTGGTAGCTTAGCTAAATGTTTGATTCTTTCCAGTATGTCTGGTGTGCCTTCCAAACCGTTGATTGTGTCAGTGGTAGATATCATGTCGCCATCTTCTGTGTAGGATATCTGCCAGTGAACATCGTAAAACAATGAACTGACTTCGAGCATCTTCTCAATCAGAGCTTCGGCAAGACCTGGAAATCCTTCGAATTTGTATTTGTCACCACGTTCCATGGAAATTTTAACCAGATGGTGTAGAGCGTAATCTTGCTCATCTTTGATGCCTGATCTTAGAGAACAGAGGCAACGAACGTAAATGTTAGGTCCATCAAAACCAGCTTCGCGAATCATTAGTACCCACTCTTGAGACGGAATAACAATCTCAGAGGAAACATTAGAAAACTTACTGCCGGGTAACATCATCCCCCTTGGAATTGCATTAGCTTTAGCACCTTCTGCGGCCGCAGCTGCATCTTTCAATGCCTTTTGGCGTCGCACAAACTCGACGGGGTTATTTCCAGGTGTAATTATAGGACGCAGCGTCAATGGCATCTGGAGTCGAGGTTCGTAATTCGTAACTGCGAGAGACATATTTTCGGTACCAGAGGAAGGGTTGTGTGAGAAGGGACCACCAACTCGTGGCATATGATGTTGATGCGAGTGGGAGGGTGTTTGGTGTTGAGGTAAGTGGTGCTGTGGAGTCGGTGGAGGATGAGAAGTCGCGGAGGGATGTTGTCGAACTTGTCGAGATGGTTGGGTATCGGGTTGAAATAACACCCGCTGTGGAGGTGCTTGTCGTAGACCTCGAGTCATTCTGCCCCCAGAGCCAGGTGTCTCTTCACTTCCATTTCTATCGCGCACAGGTGTGCCATCGTCACCAGAAGCCTCCGAATTCTCAGTACCAAGCATGCCCGTCTCTCTGCGAATCGAGGGTCTGAAATTCTCCATCGTCCGGAAAAGAAGCCCCCCTCCTTTAGCGGTGGTGTCTTCCAGGATTTCACGGGGAGGTGGTACCTTGCCATGGTATGTTGAGATTTCATATGCGGCGAGGTATTTGTAATATGTTGTTTTGAGACTAAATGCCAGCGCAGGTAAATTATTAGCTCCCAAGTTGAAATCTGAACCAAGCTTTCTCCAGGCAAGTTTTTCATCGCTAACTTTATCGTAGCCACCGCGCTCAATTACAGTATTGTAAAGGTGCAAGAGGTCGATTGTCTTAGTTCCAACTCGTGGTTCAGGATCGAAATGCGTGCCTCTCTTTTCATGATAGACTCTAAGTTTTGCGATAAAATCCTCATATTCGGGAGTATGAACGATGGAGGTATCGTGGTGAATAACTCTTGGGGGCGCCATTGTAGTATCCTGCCATGCGATATTTATGGCGATCCAATGGTTGTCCGAAAAGCTTCTCTTGATGCGACAAATAAATCAACGCGTAGAAATTGCGACGGCGACGCGATCGGTCGTTAGAGGTTGTGAGCTCCGGACTGATTTTTGGGTGAGAAATGTAGGTATACCCGACATTTAAGGCACTCATTACTCCACTTGACATGGACGCTAGGTAGAGGACCGTGCGTTGTATGGCCGAAGCTTAGTGGCATGAAGCTGTCTCCAACTTTGAACAATCGTCTATACCTTCACTTGCAACAAATTGTTTTCAGTTCAATTCCATAAAAAGAATTCATTTGAAAAGGACAACTTTCTGAAAGGAATCCAATCAAAATCTGTTGATACAGGGACAGCGACACTGATATGACTACCATCCTAAGGTTGTCAATGTCACCATTACTATCATTCAAACATTGATCTCAAACTGACAATTCCCGTTACTGACTTCCATAGTATTTACCATCCCAAGGTTCTCTATATACCACTCCTGTTCTATTCTTTCTTTCTCATCTCCTCTTTCTCCATTCTTTTCTCAATATATCATCTATGCAGTCATTATTCTTCATTTTTCCTTCAAATGTTCTTAATTTTATAGTTCGAGATGTCTCGTTTCTTCTCTCAAGAGTCTCTCACTTTCTCACAATCGCAACTAAATCCCGCCATCGTTGTTCCTCTTGTCAAGTTCTCATGCTCTTTAACCAACGAAGGTAATACCACAGGTGTTCAATGGACTCATTACTCGAGAAGTGATCTTGAACTTGTGATTCAAGAGGTGCAAGTTAGTAGTTCAGAGAATGAAAAGCACTTATTGATGAAAGTAGTCGCAGGTGCCGAGTATCTGGTATGTGATGAATTTCTGTGCAAGGCTTTCAATGTTGTAACACCTTTCAAGGAAGAACAAAATTTAAACGATATCGTGAGGGTTCACAAGAACTTCGTTTTATCTCCAGATAGCGAGATTCCAGTGAGAGTAGTGGTTAAGCCTCCGCTTCTCGCATTGCGTTACCCAAAGCTCAATGATGTAAGTTAAGAGTGCTGCAAGTTTCTTTCTTCCCTTTTATAGCAGCTGACATTAGTTCTTTAGGTTCGTAGGTTGCAATTCAGGTTTCGTGGTGACTCAGACTTCAATCGGGTTCTCAATATCTTGATAAACTTGGGTTTGACGCCAACAGAAAGTTTGTCATCAGGGCCTGTCTTGCGATCCCGTCCACCAACTGCAGACCCGACGTGTTCGGGAGTATCTAATGGACATTCTTCAGCTGTAGGTTATCTTCCTTTAACTCCAAACAGCGAATTCAAAGTTCCCATGGGGCCAGACTCAGCTGGTTCTATGCTTCAGAGACCGAGTAGCTCTTACACTTCCCGATCCGACGATCATCTCTGCATCAGACCGCAATCTGCCATGTCAATATCTTCATTCATGCCTCAGTCCAAACCATCTGCCGAGCCACTCAATAGAGCGCAATCATTATATGTTTCTCAGTTCGAGCGAGAGGTATGTCCTGTTCATTTCATTTCATTTAACTTGGTTTTAATCTTTCGATAGCAACGGCAAATACAATCCTCAAACTCTATATTGAATACCTCAGATAAGGTGCCTTCAAATGGTAACGCATACGTGAATCGAATTTTGTTGCCAAAGCCAGAAGAATCTCAACATCGGTTTTCTGTCTCGCCTTTCTTCGAAACACAAAGGAAGCATTGCTTGCCCGATAGATTCACTTCGTTCTCTTCGGCCAATGATCCACATAATTCAAGAAATAAAACACATGAAACTGCACTAGATCTTTTCAGTCCAGCCGAAGATCGACCATTGCCTCGTTCGACTGAGTATCCGTTCTTCGGTGCACCAGGAAAACGCCCGATATCTCTTCCAGCCGAGAATGATATTTGCCTAGGCCTTCCCATACCACCAAAGAGACAATTGCCATTTGCGACTCTGAAAGATCCTCTGAGATCCAAATCTGTATCCGTAGCCGACACCAGTAGACCAGTTCAAGCTCCACAACAGCGAAAGCGACCGCTTGAAAAGTTCACTAGGGAAAATACGTCAAATGGGAGGAGTATCACGCCTACTAAAAAGCCAGCAAAGAGACGTGTTGCAAGTCGCAAGGGTACTACGTATCTATCAGAAGTTAATGGCCTATCAAGTAACGCTTTTCCTTCAAAAGACAGTTCAGCAAGTGTCACTCTTGACATCCCAATGCAGACTGAAAAATCGCCACCTCTTGAAGCCAGGAGCATTGCAACACCAATCGCATTAGATAGAACGCCATTAAAACTGCAAGCAGAAGGAATTAAGGCTAGGCAGCAGTCTATGCCAACTCTCAAAACTCCCATGACTCTAAAAATGGTGGATAGATCTACTCAAACCCAAACTCTTTCAGGTCGAGACCACACAGCGGCTCTCAAGCCTGCTTCGAACATCCCTGTTGTAGACCTTCAGTCGACACGACCGACAGCCTCTGTATTACAGGACGATTTGGATCTCGTTATATCAAGATACACTTCAGGCTCGCGGGTAAGTCTGCCGTCTAACTACAGCGATGTTCCTGATGACAAACGTCATAAAATGCTCAATGATTTCATAATCAAAAATTTAGAGAATGATGACTTTCTCAAATTAGCAGAGGATATGGATGTTTCTTGGCGTAGGATAGGTCTTGCAAGATAGTTGAGCTTTGTTAGGTTAGTGCATCAATGGTCATTGGTGGAAAAAAACGGCATTTGGCTATTAGAGGGGTTTGATGCTCTATTCTTGCAGGGTATGGGTAGCACGAAGTACAGGTTTATGATTGACCAGACATTCAGAAAGCCGTGAATAATTTAACATTGCAGCACTAATCATCTTTCGCTACCTTTACAGAATTACACAACAATACACAAACCTCCTCGTTTATAACTGAGCTCAGCCCAAGTGTGCGCCATTATATACTCTAAACCGCGACGACCTTAGTAGCCTCAAGCTCGATCAATTCTCTCAATCATTCCATCACCATTCCCCACCAATAGCGTATCGAAAGACTCGTGTGAAAACTTTCCCTCCTGTCATACCCCATACTTGAGCCGCTCCCTATACGTTTAGCGTTTATACTGTATAAGTATATATGATTGAAAGGAATTCCGTATAGTTAAATGCTGACTTACCGCATTCAATGAAACTCCTGTGAACATCAACGTGATGAAAACTCTCTCTGCGCCATTACTTCCATTTGGTCGCTCTGCGGCAATCAGATGCCGATTTATAGGTCGATAATTTGGTATTCGATACTGGTCTCGAGGCCAGGACACGGGATTCTCGACATTCTCTGGTATATCTGAGGTATTCGACGGTACTATTATATCATTGATTTCCCCATCGTCACCAGTGTGATGAATGTCATATTCGGCCAATGTCTGGCGGGAATAGGTGGTGATGGGATTATCCGTTATTGTGGTCGACATTCTTTCGATAACGAACAGAACAAAGTTGTTGCTACAATAGAGAATTTTTACTGGGAGATAACCACAGCTACCCAAGTATTGTTCGAATTAGTCTTCGGACATACCATATCTTGAGCAGTGAATTTTTAGAATTTTCGGGAAACTCCTCCCCACCCTCCACATTCCGCCAACCCCTAGCCTCTCCCCGCATTTCGGACGAGGAGTGTTTTGATTCCCGTAAATTTTATGATATCCATAATGTATCCAATTTAAGATGTGTCATTACATAACCCCAAAAGATATTTGTAACATTTTGCAGTACCGGTATCAACATGGCATCATTCGGCATTGAAAATCTACGAGCATCTGTAATTGATGGCAGATTCGACAACGTTAGATACAGACAGAATGAGCTTCAGAGTCTCCATAAAGTTCTGCGAAACAATGTCGACAGGCTCACATCAGCAATCTCAGAAGATTTCTTCGGCCACGTTCGAAAAATCGACACTGAAGTCCTATGCGTGTTTTACCTTGCTTCTGACGTTATCCGGAGATCTTATCAAACGCTCAACTTCAAGGAATCGATTAGCAACGAGTATAAGGTTGCTAATGGCATAGATTTTTTATCGCGTAAAATTGGAAAGGGATTAGTGGTCATTCGGCCGACGACGCACACAAGATTTTACTCAGTCATATGTCCGATAGCAATTGCTATCGCTGCTGGGAACTGTGTCTGCTTAGAGGTACGTGGAAAAGATATCTCTTGATAGCTACGAAATATGTACTGAGAGATGACTAGCTTGGGGACACAACTTCAAAAGTTGATAGCATCTTGAAAGAATTGTTACCCCAAGCCCTGAACAACGACACATTTTACATCTCACCGAGGAATCTTGTAGATTCCTCGATCCTCGAATCGGCACTACTAGTCGATCAAACAAGTAATTCTTCAACCTCGACCATCAATAAACTCGTCTCAAAATCGTCAGATCGAACAGTTGCAGTTGTTGATCGGACAGCAGACATTGAAAGTGCAGCAGAATCTATTGTCACTGCTCGATTTTCTTTTCAAGGAACTTCAGCATATAGTCCCGACTTAGTCATCGTCAATGAATTTGTCAAAAGTGATTTTATAGAAGCTTGTACGAGATATGCGAGCAAATTCTTTTCCTCCAATAGCAGTAGCCAAAGTAGACAGAACGATGGAATTTCTGCCACCAAAAAAGCACTCAAGGATGCTGAAAACAAAAAGCAAATCACAACTTTTGGATCCAATAACTTTGTTCTTGTCGATGTTGTTGATAGGTAAATATGTCAATGTCTATGCTTGTTCCCAATCAAAACGTCAGCTAAGATAATCCAGGGCATCAACTATTACAGAGATAAAAATTAGCGGCTGCCACCTACTAATCATGGGAACTACAAGTTTAGTGGATGCCATCATGACGCAGAAATCAAAGTGAGTTCACAAAGTTTCGTCGAAGACTCTAAATTACAGTACTTACAAAATAATTCCAGATCTCCATTACTCGCCTTGTACATCTTTTCAGATCTGTCAACCGCAAAGTTTCTCGCTCAACATTTCAATGCCAGTACTAGTTACGTAAACCATATCCCACTGCACCTCCTCGTGGGACCCGCTGCTCCCTCAACACAACTTCCAATTCCTGCGTTTCACAAATATAGCGTGGAGATGTTCTCATCTCCATGCCCACAATATATTGCTCTTCCGCCCGAAGATCTCTTTCTTCTTGATAAGGTTCTTGCAGGGGGATCAGAGGCAAATGAGCTTTTCGAAAGGATTCGAAAGATGGCTGTAAAGGCACTACCGGAAACGGGCCAGGCTCCTGGTCATGCCATTGGATTTTTTGAACAGGGGATTTTGCTGGGTGCTGGTTTGTTTCTATCGGCTGTTGTCCCGGCTTTGGGGTATATATCTTGGGTTGGAGGGAGGTCTGCCTGGGGTATCATTTGGAGGCTGTGGGCGGGTAGAGCTTGAGAGCTTTTGGGATTTGTAAATATGAGCTTGGTTCGTGTTCAAGGGTGTTTGTTTAGATTAGTCATTACTCAATTTAATTCTTGGGCGTACATTGCAAGACAGCTCCCTATCTATGGTCTAAAAAGAACCGTGAAAAAGATCTCGTCTTTTAGGCTCCCTGATAGCCACTGAAATATTGTAGAGGGTGCTTCCTATCAATAGCTTGGCGCAACCCTGAACATTGAGAGAAACTATTCTAGAGTGTTTGATTTTTCAATACTAAGCAATAATATATGGCAGTGTTATTCTATGGAGTTGAATTTAATATAGTTGAATGAGGAATCTTCAAATTGGTAAACACGCTACTGTATACATAAGAATAACACAATCAGAAGAACTCTCATGTTCCCCAAATGCATTAGAAACCTTAAACTTTGCCCATTATCCTCGAATTCCCAGAGCCCCAGTTCCCAAAAGTATACTGGCTATTACACATATTCCTCAGCTCCCAATCCTCTGCCCCATCACAGCAGCAGTACCCCGATCCTCAAAATCTCCACAAAGCCCTGCCACAAACATTGCAGCCATAAAATGATCATCTGTGCCATGCGCATCACGATATTTGGGTAATTTCATTAACATTGTCACTGCTCTTCGCAATTCTGGTCCGGAGTTCTTGGTCATTGCATCTTCAAATTCTTGGCGGAATTCGAGCATTGCAGCGTCTGGGGGGATTCCATGGCGAAGTTGTCTACGGGGAGATTGTGGTTAGATCTTGGAGATAGACAGTGATGTTAGAAATTTGGTTTTGTACCTCGATACATTAACATCTGCAACCAATTATTCCGATACAAATTATGTACCGCACCTCCCGTCCCAATAAAGAGCACATCCTCTCTTCTTAACGGTCGTAGCGCACTTCCTACCTTAGTATGATAATGAGCATCATATCGTGCGTTCATAGAGATGATAGTCGTTGGCGGGCACCCATCCGGGAACATTCGAATGAGGATTAAGTAGGTATCATGGATCCAATCAAACTTATCATTGAATTTTGCTTTGAACCCATTCTTCTGCAAAAGCTCAACACAGCGAGTTGCCATGGGAATGTCAGGGTTTAGTTTGTATGGTACGTATTTTGAAGGGTGCACGTAGGCTACTGGAGACTTTCCGGGTGTGGGATTCGAGGCAACTTCAATTTCGTTGCCGAGAGTTGCCCAGTGTGCTCCCTAATGAATGTTTCAACAAAATGCTGGATACCGGAGATTATTAGAGGGATTTTGCTACTGACCATCATTACCACGTGTTTTATTCCATTTGATAGAGCTTCGTCGCCGCATTTTTTCCAGTATGTTGCACTGTCGGATTCTTCCCCAAGCATCATTGTGGAGCCATGTGAGAAGAAATGAACAGGAGTCAAATTCGTCACCAGCGCCATTTGTACAGATATCAGCCTTTTTTTTTCTAGAAGCTGATTGTAGTATTTGCCAAATTCGACATAAATTCTTGTTGACTCGGTCGTTTATGGTATTCTATGAATAGGGGGTGAATAATGGACATGAGACCCGGAAATGCGGAGTTTCAAAGCCAAAGAAGTGGGGCCGGAATATTGTCGATCAATCTTAGGCTATGAACATGCTTTCCTTCCCCACACATTGTAACCTCCACTACGGCAGGTCCGGTTAAAGACAAGTCGCCCGTTTACCCTTCAGAGTAGCCAAGCCCAGCCTGGAAGAGGCCGCGTGATTGTCGAATCTGAAGAGGAACACTGAACGGGATTAAAGAGATCAGATCTCTCCGCATCCAACTCCACCTCCACCTCCACCTCCTCCACTCCTTCAACTGCCACTAAGCATATGGCTCCTCCTGCGCCAGTTATGTCGGATCATGTAACCTTTGATAACGGCAGTGATGCACTAAGTATTCTAATCGATGCAGCAAGTTCAATTGGGGCCGACAGACAAACGCACCCGGGATTCGCTCGGTCGTCTCCGCCAATGCCTCCAGCACCAGCCGTTAACCAGTGTCGAATATGTCAAAGAACCTATGAGCGAGGGGACCACCTCACTCGTCACATGAGGTCACATGAGAATTCTCGACCCTTCCGGTGTCAACAATGTCCAAAGACTTTCAATCGCGTTGATCTTCTCACTCGCCATGTTGCCACTCATGAACGTAATTTGGGTCAAAACCGCCCAGAAATTAGACGAACAGAGCGGGCTGGAAAAGCATGTGTAGCATGCGCAACAGCAAAGGCAAAGTGTGAAGAGCAAAAACCGTGCTTGCGATGCCGAACAAAAGATCTCGTTTGCGAAATATCTCAGAAATCTCACAAGAAAAGATGCGTTTTGGGTATTGCGTAAGTCTATCACTCACAAAGCCTAAAGCTTAGGCACTACTCCATTGTCTTCAATTGAAAGATTTAAATTGTGAGATTCAAATTATCTGAGTGGATGAGATCGATCCATTTCAGTGATTGAAATCATTTGAAAACTTTATCATTATTCGAATACCTTGAATTCAATTTGCTAGCTCAGAATATTGAACAACTTACCCACCCCCTTCTCTGAACCCCTTCCACAAATATTGGAAGTAACCCGATGCTGACATACTAATTGGCATAGGAAGGAGCCACGTGACTCCATCGCAGAACGAGAATCTCTTCCTCAAGATTCTGTGACACGACCTTCGAGCATATTAGATCCCATTCTACCTAGCATTGACGGAACCGATGATTACACAACCACGAATTCCTATTCGGACTATAGCGCCGAGAATGCAGAAGCAATACTGCAATCTTCTTTTCCCTTATCTGCACTAAACTCGAATAAGGAATCAACGGACTTCAATTTTGTTCAAGACCAACTACCTTTCGATAACCTTGCCAATGAACTGCTTTTCTTTCCTTCAACAATTTTCAACAATCAGATCTCAGACTTCGGTTTTGAGGACTTTAACTTTCAGGAAGAGAATTTCGAATTTACCCCCATGGCTTCAAAATGTGTTACAGTCGACGAGAGTACTATCTCTGGACCGTCACAAAAGTTCAATGGTTCTAGAAGGGATGTTGCTCGAGGGCATGCAGCATTTTCCCGCTCGCCTTGGCTATGGACGCCAGCTTCAACTGATCACATTCTCAGGGATCGAGATAATTTAGCGGTTGATGAAGAAAACATATCTTTAAATTTCTCCCCTAACGGTGCAAGGCCTCATGAACATCTTTCTATAACATCTTCCTTGCGAGACAAGATGTTTCACCTCGTTTCTACAACTAACAAATATGCGAGTGGTATACCAAGTTTTCCTTCGTTGGATTTACTGAACTGTACAATTGAAGCGTTTTTCTGCCAGCAAAGCAATCAAGACGACCATTGGATTCATACCCCAACAATATACTTAAAAGATGTCCAACCAGAGCTTTTGATTGCCATCGTGGCTGTTGGATCCACTGCCATTTCATTACCTGCTGTATGGAGAATGGGACTGGCCCTTCAGGATGTAGTGAGATTGAGTGTATCTGAATTGGTAATGTCATCCTTATGGAATCCAGGAGCCGTGCTGATTTTAATTAAACACAGTGGGAAAGGGCTAACAGCAACACTCGGAGACTCCAGCCACTGCAAGCCTGGATGCTTTCTCTCGAACTTGGGTTATGGAGTGGTTTTCAGAGAAACATGGAACTAGCTGAGAGCTTTTCGCAACCTTTGATCACGGTAAATAATCATGATTTTTTTTCTTGAATGGGTTGTCCATTGTTTCAAAGAAATCTCAATGATTTGAATTCTTCCTATTATTAAACTGCCGTTTGGGCTATTGGACACACTATGCTGGGAAACCATTGATATTTAAATTCAGGCTGATTAATATAGATGATGCGCCGTGGTGGAATTTTCTCAGCCACTTCAGATTCTCAGAATCTGATACCAAACCAAAATGACACTGGAAAAAGCCTGGAAGCAAAATGGCAGACATGGGCACAAAGGGAGTCTTTCAAAAGGTATGTTTGGTTGCACTCATGAATATTGCAGCCAGCTTACCCTTCATCTTTCAGATTGTCTCTCAAACTGTTCCAGCATGACACTCGTGCTTCTTTAGCCCTTCAAAAACCCCCATTAATTAACTATACGGAACTATCTTTCTCGGTACCTGCATCACGTGAATTATTTCTAGCTGAATCTGCAGCGGATTGGAAGTCAATGTATATGAGAAAACTACATTCACCGGTGGTCCCACCACTTCGCTTGATCGATATTATGCACAGTTCCTGTGGTCTCGAAGATCCGGATGAATCTTGGGACGTAGATCTATGTTATGAAGCAACGTTGAATGGCTTTTGGGGGCAAATCTGGGCAATCGGAGAGTCAACCCGTTTTCATGGTATTGATGGAAATAAAGACTCTGTGCATCGGCTATGGATAACTACTCAACAGCGAGAGCTTTATCGTGAAGTCGAAAGTTTTCGAGATCGAATTTTAGGCAGAGCAAAAATACCATCAGGGCTTAACATCACAGCCGAGTTATTTTTACTAGCTCTGTGTGTTTCTCCTGATGAGTTGCAGCGATTCGCTGGTAAATCCGGCCAAGACGCAGCATCTCAGAGTTTTAAATCATTGGAACGATGGTATACAACGGAACGTGCAAGGAGGGCAATCTGGCACGCCGGACAAATTTTTCACTGGGCTTCGTTGATGGCTCCGGCTCAGTTGCGGGATTTCTACACCGTTGCCGTCTACTTTGCCAGTCTTACCATGTGGGCATATGGACATCTCTCAAATAGCATCACCCGCGAGAGTAGTAATGAGACGAGGAAAACCCGCAATTCCCTTCAAACAGAGGTGAATCTTATTAGCCCCGACAGTCGCGAGACTCGGACATTCATATCCAGTGGTCAAGGGACGCCAGTTCTAATTCTGGCACCTCGAAATTCAACGGATATTAATGCTACAGCCGGAACGTCTGAAACCGATGACTTTAATTTGAACAATGAAAAGATCCGACTCAGCAATCCGAATGAAGTGCTTAAGATGGCACGAGATCTTTATCGAAGTAACTTTCCAATCCTGGAGGAACCACTTCCGCCTCTGGTGGAGAATTGTAGTAATTTGATGAGGGATCTTAGTTGTGTTCCCGAAAGTCGATTTTCAAGATGTGCTAGTCCGATAGAGAAATGATTTGAGGCAAGATGAATTCTTCGCTACTACACCGGTGTAGATAATTTTTGTTAATTGGGTTGAGTGATGTCTTCGATAGTCCGAACTGCGATCCAACGTTAAAAGGGTTTGCATTTTAGGTTTTTTAAAATTGAGGGACGCATGATACTGGGGGTGTAAATGACTTAAATAATTCAGAACTTTCAACATCATTTGGTCTCCTGGTCCATAGTATTGAAAATCTTGAGGTTGGGGACTATGTGTCGTCACTTACCGTGTACTTACGGGAGATTTGCAGTCTTAAAATGCAGGGTATTTCCTGTCGAACAGACATTAGATTGCCTACGTAGATTTATTGATTGGCAAGATCATCGTCAAAGCAGAGTCTCAAGCAAGGCCAGTGTGATTTTCGTCCTTTCATGGATTGACTGAATACCAAGACCGGGAATCTCTCAGGAACATACGGTAATTACACTTGTTTATTCATTGTGGCAGGTGATCGTGCCCATCTATCACAAATTGAATATGGCCCATCTATCACAAATTGAATATGTATTTGTACTGAAGCGATTTATCTACGCCATACACTGACAAAAAAGAACCGGCCCCATGTAAGTGCTTGCATGAACCCCTGCCCAGCTAGTTACCCGTAGCGTCACCCCGTGCGGAAATCTCGCTTCCGCTATCACTCCCCCACATTCCGCAACCGTTCCATAATATCCAGCCCGGCATTTAGCTGCAGCCTGACAGGGACGTTGCTGACCCTCGAGCTGCTAGTGATGGTGATTTTAGTGATAGGAAAGACACCGGGTCCTAGAAACACATCAACTATTGTTTTGATTAAGTACATCTTGATCATCTTGGCCGAAGAGAAAGATTAATTAGCAAATCACCATTCACGATGACCACTACCAATAAAATCAAAGACATCATGGAAGTCATTGAAGACAAAGAAAACGAATTGGTGTTTGAGAAAAATGTCTCTATTCCAATAAAGGCATCTGATCTTCCAGTGAGATGTAATGTCTATAGACCAATTGCTCCAGAAGGTGCCAAATTCCCTGTCCTTGTGACATATGGACCTTATGGAAAAGATATTCCTTACGATAAGTGAGTATAGGTCATCAAGAATCCTTTCATACAGATTATCATAGAGTAACCCATACATACTGACATTGTCGTCCCGAAAGTTTCTTCGCCAAATCCTTCAGCGAGGTGAACCCTGAGCACAGAAGCAAATATAGTGCTTGGGAAACCCCAGATCCAGTATTCTGGACTTCCAAAGGATATGTCGTTGTGAGGGCAGATGAGAGAGGACTAGGTCAAAGTCCTGGACTCTTAGATACAATGTCTCGAGGCACGAGCGAGTGTTTCTTCGATGTTGTTGAGTGGGCATCGGAGCAACCCTGGTCTTCCGGGAAAGTTGGATTATTGGGAATCAGCTATTATGCGGGTATGCAAGCCAGATCAATCTGTTTCTGATTTTTTCTATTCTGTGCTGATTTATTATATAGGCAGTCAATGGCGTGTTGCAGCTCGTAGGCCAAAGGGTCTTGCGGCTATTATCCCATGGGAGGGAATGACTGATTATTACCGTGATCGATGCAGACATGGTGGAATACTCTCAGATGAATTCATCCGATTTTGGTGGAATAGACAAGTTATTACCAATCAATATGGTCGACCTGGACGTGCAGCTTCAAAATGGGGCGAGGATACTATTGAAGGAAATTTGGATGAAGAGACGCTTCTTAGGAATCGTAACGACCAGACTATCGATAATGTAAACAATCGCTTTTTAGATGATGAGTATTACAAGTCAAAGGATTTTAATCTGGAAGATATTGAGGTTCCGGTTTTATCGGTAGCGAATTGGGGAGGTATTCTGTTGCATCTTCGAGGTGATTCCATAAATGCCAAGATTGTTTGATAGTTCACTAATGGAAATTATAGGCAATGTAAACGGCTACATGTGGGCAGGTTCCAAGTTGAAGTATCTCCGTTTCATTACTGGACGTCACGATCTTCCCTTTTACTACAAAGAAGAAGTTGAAATACAGAAAACGTTCCTCGATGCGTTCCTCAAGGATGACGATAAAATCGGTTGGTCTACGCCCGGAAAGGTCAGCCCTGTCAGCGTGATTCTTCGAAAAGGAGACGTTGGTTACAATAATGCCGAAGCGGAAACTAAATATGAACGAAGAGAAGAAACAGAATGGCCATTAGCAGGAACACAATATACCAAGTTCTATCTCACACCAGAGAAAACGCTTTCCAGAGATACTCCAGCATCAAGTGCGGACAAAGTTTCATATGATGCGCTGAGTACTCTCAAAAATCCAAAACTTGTCCAATTCACAAGCGCATCATTCGAGCAGGAAACAGAAATTACCGGGCATATCACCGCACATCTGAACGTATCCCTTTCTCCTTCTCCATCAGCAACCGCCCTGGAGAAAGACATCGATATCTTTCTGACCCTCCGCCATATCTCCCCCGCAGGTGAAGAAATTTTCTACACCGGCACGGCAGGAGATCCGGTTCCACTAACCAAAGGCTGGCTCCGAGTATCTCTCCGTAAAATTGCGGAGAAGCATCCGCGAAATTTACCACATCAACCATATCGCGAATATCGCTCAGTTGATGTTCAGGAAGTTAAACCAGAAACGAGTTATGCAGTGGATGTTGAGGTGTGGCCCACTAATGTTGTGGTAGAGAGAGGGGGAAAGATTGTGCTCGAAGTGAGTTCGGGGGACACTCAGGGAAGTGGAATTTTTGCTCATGGGAATGAGAAAGATAGGTAAGTTTCTTGTTTTGATTGATCCCTTAATCTTCTTTCGTTGCAGGAGAGATATGCATGTGCTGACTTTGGAATTGTAGATCCGTAGATAGGTTTGCAGGTAAGAATAACATTCATTTCGGTGATGGACAGGAGAATTTCGTCACATTGCCTATTGTGCCGTCAAGATCATAGAGGTTTAAATATACCTGGTTGTCATGTAGTATGTTAAAATCATAGAATTGAATGTTTCATACAACTTTGATGATTCAATTCTGCTGTAGAACATTACTTTTGAGAAGCGTGGATGATCAAAGGTCAAGTGTCATTAGTCTTGAATATTGCTGTGTATAAAACAAAATGTGTAATTTGAACTGAACATGGAAAAGATTCTTTGCGATCCCATGTCTTCTTTTTTTTTGAAGGCTAAGAGCCCTTTTGGTGGTGAATAAGTCTCGAAAGGGTTCCTTGGCCGTCATCGACCATTCCATGAACATCCCACAAGGTTATGTCCTCCATTGCGTGCATGGATTGGCGGGATACTTCTCAACTTCCAAGAATTTTGACAAATTTATCTTCCAATTATTTGATATTGGAATTCATCTTTTGATTGTTCGTTTCTAACGAATAAATTTAACAGCCCCTTAGATATACATGGATATCACATAGGATGAGTACATATTGAATTCGTGAATGGCAGATGAAATTGGATGAGAACAACTTCAAAGTCCATTATTGTTTCACAAATCACATATATACACAAGACTGTCATCAGACAGGAGTCTCTTATTTTGAAATCAATGCAATTGAAAACTAAACAATATCCACCGATGATACAGGTATACATAAATGTTTATATTGCAAAGCCTTCAATCATGAACCAGTTATCCCTTCACAAATCTTTAACCACTCTTCCTCACTCCATCCATTCCACCCAAATCCTCCTCCAACTCCTTCCCATCTTCCCCAATAACCGGTTTTGCCTCCGTCAGAACATACAACATCCTTGCCCACTCCGTCTCACTACAGTTCCTCCAAGCATGAGCCGTAGCCCTCTGCACACAAATATCACCTCTCTTCAAGATCCTCTTTTCACCCCCATCCAAAACCAACTCTACTTCCCCTCAATAACCACCCCATAGTCCAGGCTCGTAGTTCTATGCATAGGTGATAAAAGCCCAGGTTCCATATCCACAACTCTGAGGACGGTACCCCCTGGAACAACTAGGCCTGGTGGAGAAGATAGGTAATTCGTGTAGCTGGATATGTCTTTGCTGGAGCTCATTTCTACCGGAAATTCTGATGTGCAGTACCCCAGAAAGAAATTAGCACCTTTCGTGGCGGTCCAGGTAGATTCTGGGGAGAGGGAAGAGGAAATTATGGCTTTGCCTTCACGGTCATGGTCGGTAATATGTCGGGAGATTTTGGGGAGAGGACTAGGCTCTACTGAATTAACCATCTTGGTGATTATGTAGTGCAAATTTCGGTCAAGTATAGTATGTTAAAAAAGAGACTTGGGGACTCAAAGAGTTGAGTATCGGTAAATGTTCGTTGAAATCGTATCGCGATATTACTTCTATAGGGCCAAGGATAGGTAACTGAATGCGTGAATAAGTACCACCTACAGGTAAGATAAATGCCGCAAAGTGGAACAAGATATTCCAAAATAAAATGATTGAATTCCACGGTCAATTCGAGATACTACCCGGATTACGATAGTCTCTCCGTGATTTCTGCATCCGGGTTTAGCAATTGAAGGAATGTCCGCATGTCGCTAGGAGTATGTGGGGCCGAGTGGAGGGTGACGATATAATAGATATAACAACGAAACTACCGGTGGATGCGGGGCCCCAACAACCGGCAGTGAATCGTGATATCCGAGACCATATACAGATATTGATCAGAATTTCTAAATGAGGAGCCAGTTACGCTGCAAGAAATCAAAAGAAGATACCTATATCCCGGCAGGAAAGCCAGAGAGCGAACTTTAACTCGGAGATTGTATGTCCATGAATGAGAACATACATATCTTTAATTGTCTGGTTTCTCGTGGACGCATTGATGACAATCATTGAATCTCACATCTAGCAATACCAAAAAGCAAGTTCACTTACGAAGTGTTTGGATCTCCATACACCATAGGACCTCGAAATTAACGATGACTACTAACGACAACATTAACGACCAATACAAACCTTTAAAGGTATTAATAGCAGGTGGCGGTATTGGAGGACTCTCGGCGGCAATTTTCCTGCGTCAAGCAGGACACATTGTGGAAGTGTGTAAAAGTCCCTGAATTTTACCCAAGATACCGAGACTAACTAGTAGATAGATCTTTGAACAGTCTCGCTTCGCATCTGAAACTGGTGCAGCAATACACATTCCAAGTAATGTGAATGGCCTCTTGAGAAGATTTGGCATGATACCAGAGGATCATGGGGCAAATCAGACAGAGTGGGTATCGGAGTATCGGCCAGACGGAGAATTGGTATTTTCCAGAGATGTGAGAGGTCTATCAAAGGTCTATCCATACCCTTGGCAATTGATACACCGAGTAGACCTTCATAATGCACTTAAAGACATTGCTACTTCTAAAAAAGGCAAAGGAATGCCGGCAGCTCTGCATACTCGAAGCAGAGTTGCGTCTGTTGATGTTGAAACTCCTTCTTTAACTTTGGACGATGGATCTACGCACACGGGCGATTTCATAATCGCTGCAGATGGCATCCATTCAAAGATCAGAGCTTTACTGCTGAAGGATCTTCCACCCCCAGAGTCATCTGGAACCAACGCTTTCAGATTCTTAATTCCAATCGACGAGATTCGAGCAGATCCTAAGACAGCACATTTCGTTGAGAAGTCTGGACAGTTGCTTCTACTATACGGAAAAGATCGAAGAATAGTTGCGTATCCATGTAGGAACAATACTTTGTTGAATTTTGTGGCAATGCATCCGGAAGAAGAAACGGAAGCAAGTTCAGAAGAGTGGAGTCAAAGCGCATCGAAAGATACCCTTTTGAATTGTTACACTTCATATACAGATGATGTTCAAGCTCTGTTAGCCAAAGTTTCGCCTGAAGATATCAAACTCTGGAGTTTACTGGATCACGAGGAAATGGGGAGAGAGAATTGGGTTCACGGAAAAGTGGCACTGCTCGGAGATGCCGCTCATGGATTTCTCCCACACCAAGGACAAGGCGGTGCTCAGGCAATAGAAGATAGCGCGGCAATTGGTGCTTTGTTTCCATTGGGTACTCGATCGTCCGATATCCAGCAACGTTTGAAGCTTTACGTTCAAGCCAGATACGATCGTGCTACACTCGTACAAGATTTCACTCGCCAAGCTGCATTTGAGACTCCTCGTGGAAAACATGGAGGTAAGGTTATAGATCCCATGCAATTTATGCAAACAAACTTATCACATGATGCTTACGATCATGCGCATGGAATTTTGATTCGGTATTTGAACGAAAACGCTCTGTATCGAAGAATGCCAATGTCTTTTGGGCCTAGCCCAGGTCCAAGGCAAGATCTCAACGGAATAAAACGAAATCCCTTGAAGGCAACATACAAAACAAGTTACATCACCTTCAAAACATACAAGAGCTATCTATTAACTCTTTTGCCATCCGATGATTTCCAAATCACTACAGAGGGTATGTGGGCAACTGCCACATTCTCTGTCACACGCTTGGATAATTTGGAGTGGCTCGGGGGTCGGGGGTACTCAATGCTGGGGTTTTATGTTCATGATATCGTACATAAGAGTTCCTCAGACAGCCATTCTGGTAATTCAACTGAACTGAAAGGTGATTTCCTGCCAGTTCTCTTCGAAAATATGGCCGATCCAATCATCACTGGCCGAGAGGAGTTAGGGTTTTCGAAGGTGTTTGCGACATTGGATGAAAAAGCTAGCTCGGAATCGTCGTTCATATTGAGTGCTTGTTGGGAAGGTACCGAATTTTGTAGCCTAACCTTGAATGATTTGGAGGAGGCTCCAGATGCTGAGTCTGCTCTATGCAGTCCGGTTTTGCACTACAAGGCCATCCCATCAAGTATGAAAAAGGGACAAGATGCGGAGTACGCAACAACTTATCCTTCAATACCGACGGCTGAAGGAGAAAGGAGATGGAAGGCTGGGAAGGCGGAAATTGTATTCACGGATCTGGAAAATGGGGAACTGGAGATGGCGTTCCCAACTCTGGCTAACATAATCAAGGGATTGAGGGGTGTCAAAGTAGTGGAGATCATTAGATCGGGAATACAAGCTTCAGCGTCTTAGCTCAATCTGTTGTTTTTAGTTTTTTCATGTTATTTTCATCGGAGTTTTGTACTGCTTGCTTGTAGGGTGTGAGAGACTCAACGGGATCTTCTACAAAATTCATTCCATTACCGCAATCATAGTATTCTCTCGTATGCACCAGCTCTGAATAACGCTGTGGATCATCTGAGATTTTTGAGTGAGTAAATCAAACTACAGAAAATACGTCCCAATCGCTGCTGCAAGACGCTCGATTTGTTCGTTTGAAAAAGAGTATAACACAGCTATAACAGCAATTCTACAATACACTGTATCATTAGCCTTAAGAGCTAAAATATTCAAACTATTGACTGTCAGTGATTATATAAGTCTGAGTAGATGAGCATGAAGTTGAGTAGAGATTAGCGTCGGACTTATTTACATTATTAAATTCAAAGTTATCCTTCACCTAGAAATGGAGTAGAAGGTATAGTTATCACCTCTTGAGTTTATAGAATACTATATCTAGGTCGTTGTTCAAAGTCTAAATATACGAGAAGATATTGTATTTCTGTTCTATAGCAACTTCACAGATCAACTGACTGCCTTTGAGAGCCCGTGGATACCGTTTTTAATAACACCGTCATGGATTTTAGTAATCCAAAGGTCTTCCATCATAATTCAATTCATTATACACAAGTAAACACCACTTTTATTGTGTATAATCTTTACCTCCGTGTACCCAGCTTTCTGAAGCAATGCGTAATATTCCCACCATGCCTTGTACAGCATGACAATCTAGCGGCAGATTAGCATCCCAGAGTTACCCCGAACTCTTTTCGGCCCTCTATCAGAAGCGTGATCTGAACGCCTTATGTTGCACATCTGAGATGTGGGTTTCTATTTAAAGAACTCGAAGCTTGCTTGGGGGATTATTTCTACTCGTTGGCTAGCACTTCATTGGAAGCTAGATATACCAAATTTTATGCGTGTCATTTGATAGCCTAATGTTGCATGTCTAAATCAGGCTCTCTATCTATACAGCGGCTAAGTGGCCTGTGCGATTATGACTTGAACTTCCCATGTTACATATATAAATGAGATCCCACATGAAGAGGAGCGAAGAAAGACGCCTTTGTTGCACGGAATATCCTCTAAATGTCACTTGAACTGAAGGCCTGATTCTATAAATTGAATTGAGGTTCATCGCGTATATCGCAGACTGTCCTGAGAATGTAATTTAAACTTCTAGGTTTGTCCCATTTAGATAAGAAGCCCGAGTCAGGATCTTAGTGTATGCCAAATGAAACGTCATTGAGTCCCCTATGTTGCATATCTGGATAAGAGATAACATATCCATGGCACGATTGAATTCACTATGTTGCATGTCTGGATAAGAGATCAAAGATCGATGGCACGATAGAGTTTTGATCGCCATTGAAGTGATACAATACAGTTTAGTTGATTTCATCATGGTAACAATAAACCAAATGTATCATTACATAATTCATACATGGAAGATGAGAAATGATTCGACATGGATCCATCCAATCCATTCACTAGCCAAAAGCGAAGAAGCATGGATGAGTTAGGTCGATCATTACGAGTAAAAGTCTTTCAACCAGAGAGTTGAGCTGGATACAACGTAGAGTCTGCATATTCAAGGAAGAGCCCAATATGTCGACACCAACGCAGGGCATCCATGATTTGATAACCAGCTCCTTTACTTTGAGTGACGAACTTTAGATAATCTTAAATTCTTTCCTCGCAATCCATACAAGCAAAAGTTTAGACAATAGGAAAATAATAATTCACCACATATGAAAGCTTTCAATTTTTGATAACGCGAGCATGTTTCAAACAGTGATAGATAATTCAAACGCATTTTGTCATTTCATCGAGGCCTAATGCCTCAAATAATCGTGCTGATTTAAAATCCTCTATTTCTCGATTGCACCTCGAACTATGGAATCATAATTACCGCATACTCAGGATTCATTACGTCACTAGGTGACAACGGACGCTGGCTACCGTAGCCCAGATTTTATTGTAGGATGTTCATACTTAGACATTTAACTTTCGCTTATTTTAAGCGGGCCCACCGAGATACCTTGGGCAATAGTTCTGTCGCTGAGTTAAGCAAGATTGCAATGATGCAAGATCGCTGCCATCACCGGGTATGAATCTCCTCATGAAATTAAACCAATCATCACTGCCATGCGATATTCACGTCTGCTAGTTGTCTTATCAGGCGTTCCTTCAAGACTCGAGGGACTAATAATAGGAGTATTCTGAACGAAATTTCGACAAGATTTGACACCTGTCCTCATTATAATAGAGCAATTGAAGAAATTTTACGCGTCTGAAAGAAGGCTTAAAGAAAGAAAATTATAGTAGAATTTACTTGCCGCTCTGATCGTCTACTTCGCATCAATCACACTTATTCTAGCAAATGTCCTGTCCGTTTTGTTGCATGTCTGAATCCACCTGTCAAAAGATTAGAGAGTCAGATAACTTCATGTTTTATTTCTAGCTCGCCATATCTGGCCTATCAAATTTCAAGTAAAGATAAAAAGACATTATGTTGCAAATCTGAGTCCACCTGTCAAAAAAATAGAAAGTCAACTAACTTCCCGTCCACTATCTCGCACCTATCAAATTCTAGATTGAGTCATTTACAGTCTGTTTTTGCATATCTGAATCCACCTGTCAAAAAAAAGAGACCCGACTAAATATTAGCTCATAATTTTGCACTTATCAAGTTCTGCGTAAAGCTATCACAGTCTGCCGTTGCAGGTCTGAATCCACCTGTCACAAATAGACCGAAGGTAAAACTTTAGTTCACTACCTTTCACTTATCAAATGCTAGATAGGTGGAATACAATCTCTTGTTGCATATCTGAAAACAAATTTCTATAAATAACTTCAGAATTCCACGGTTGTGTCATGCAGTCTAGAACCACTTGTAGATCTAAAGAAGTCTAGATACATATTTGGTTAATAGAAAGATTACTAGTCTATCTTGCTCTTCATAGACAGACTACTTCCTACCAATCAAATCCTGAAAAGAGAGGTAAATGTTTCTTGTTGCATATCTGGAATAATATTTCTATAAATAAATTTAAACCTCTATGGTCATGTCATACATTCTAGAGTCATGATCTGAAGAATTTTGTGTACAGATCTGGCTAATGAGAAGATTACTAGCATCTATCTTGCTCCTTACTGACTACTCTACCAATCACACTCTCGAGAGAGGGAGGGAATTGCGATTTGTTGCATATCTGAAATAATATTTCTATAAATACCTTGACTAATTGAGAGATATCTCATCATAGTACGTTATATAGATGAAAAATCTACGGAAACACTCTTACGTTTGTGGTTAGATGTCGCTTTGAGCTGAACACTTGCTGACAGGCATACCCAAGAGTGCTATCGTCTTTCTTTAATTTGGAAAACAAGACATTCCGTCTACATTAAGTAATGCCATTCAATTTGAGATTTACCTCTTCATAACCACATAGGGCAAGGTCACATGAAATTCAATCTATCATTCAATGGCTGACGAAGCATAAATCATATAGTAGCAGACTACTTTTCTTTTGTGAGTCTTACTACATTTCAAATATTCAAGCTTTTCGCTACGTTCCATGAACTCCATGTATTCAAGAGAGTTTTAGGCTCTCCAAATCATAATCGTAGGATATATTATCATGCGGGCCATGAATATTGTATTAAAGCTTTGCTTCCCTCCTGGCACTAAATGGATCGTGACTCCTGTGAGATTTTTGGAAAATAGAGACAGGAATTCTTCGAATGGTAATCGTTGTAGTTCTGGGTCAACTGAGAATTTTCGTATCTCTTTAGGGGGCATATGCGCGATTATAGGGACTAATACTTCATTGCGGTAAAAACATTGCTTCCTAAATGCAACAGCTGGCTAAACCTAGTTGAGACAATTCCAGAGCGGCAGCTGATTCAAGGTGCCTCAAAGAATCTCATCAGATTGGTTTCTATGTTCACTTGTTGACTATCAGGCTTCTAACCTCAACATTTGATATGTAATGTGTGTAAAGCTGAATGAAATATCGCTTGATGGAGACACAATCGTACAGCAGTATGAAGAGAATGCTGTTCTATAGAATTCAACTCATGAACTAGCATCCCTCACTTTTTTCGCCTTGCTGCAGGTATAAATAGGTGTAGATACATATTACTTCCTTTCATGCTTAATCACAGGCTTACAGATGCTCATACCAGTCATGCACCTTGAGACGAACTCGTTCAACACACAGCACAAAATTATTGGCATTGAAAATTTTGGAATTAGAAATGAATCTTGGCATCTATTTGATCATCAGATAGTCTAAACAGCAATTTCATCAATCCGTCTTCTTCCAGTGTTTGTTTCCTTGCTGGTACACTTGCTTGATAAATTGTGAGTCTGAATAAGTGTCCCCACATTTTAGTACAAGTACGCATGTGAATTTTGAGAAGGATAACACTGTGTCGGTGTCTTCGTTGATGTAACTACCTGTGGTATTTCTCTACTACACCAGAAATACTTGTATCTCTTTATAATGGAAACAAGCCAGCAACGATGTCGTTACATATTTGGACGCTGCGAAAATTTTATCTCGAAATTATGAGGTTAGAAAATAATACTACATCCGACATGTTCATTGCTAGTATTTCTCGGAACGGTCTTACTGCCTTTTCGTGTTTGAGCAATGTTGTACATCGCAACTTCCTTGGCCAGTCGTTGTTAACTAACTGCCAGTAAAAATATTGAGAGATATCGGTTTAGGCTCACTGTATGATTGGCTGGTATGGGTTTTCGTTTCCGAATTTATCAAAAATGGCGACGACTGCAAAATCTGTTCACATCCTGTGCTAGATAGGCAAGAGCGTTTCCTAACGACGTACTTCGTCTTGAACGGCTCAACGGTGCTTCAAGGCCAACCTTACTGTGTATATCCTAGTTGATAGCGAGTACAGTTTTAGAATATGTGTCCACATCGATTTCAATATTCAATTTTGCCTCAAATATCTATCTTGATTGAAAACCAAACGCAATATATATTTGGATGAAAGACAGTTTTTAGTAGTTGTAGAGTAGAATGACTTTTTTTCTGTCTCTATGAAGGTACCTGTGCAAGTATTACTTGATTTCATCTACTTCCGAACCATTTATTACTCAATTCACAGCGCTATTACAACCTCGTGTAACCCGAGATCTGGTTTCTACGTGACGAGGGAAATATAATGATTTGATCCATCAACAGCCCTTTGTGTCACACATGATTGGCATTTACTGACGCCGAGGAATACTTTGGGATGCGAAATGGGATCATGGGAAGTCTATGGTGAAGTAACACAGTCAAGATACAAATCAATAAATGAGATTTCATTTGATTCCACACTATTCCAGAGAAGCAAAACAAGTTGAGAATAACATTTTCACAGCTTACTGGTAATTAAAACTCCAGTACAGAATGGAAAGAGTGATTGCCTTATTTTATAGCACCCACCAATGACTATGGCGCCTCTCTATCAAAGCTTAGAAAGAATCAATTTATTAAAAACAGTACAATTAGTCGGTGGGTATTTCTCTTGTGACTAATAACAAACGGTGAATGATGAATAAATCCGGCTTCTCATTGGAAGATGCGATGTACTAAGTAAGCTTGTAGTGGTAGTGTTGTACTAGTTTATCGCTTGAGTAGAGTCTAGTTCCCCAATATTCCATTCTGAAATCTTGAAATGTATAGTCAAAACTGCACATCTCTTCATGAAGAGATTAGAAAATAATAATATGGTAACAAGGGTGATATGGATGATTACAATGTACTCAATTAATTTTCTCCTCGTTTTTGAATCACAAAATTTGACCCAGAGTTGAAGAAATTCATCCTGTTCTTGGCGTGGAAAGTGCATTGGGTTTAAAGGTCGCCGTACTAAGCGAGAAGATGGGGGGGGAGCTCAATTGTAGGATAAACAACATTGATGACTTAGTACTGAATTGAAACTTAAATTTCGAAGGTCAACCAAAGTCGTGCCCAATGGGAATAAAGTTGAAATTCTTTCAAGCATATTATATTTCAGATGACCCGCGCATTGAATTGAAAACGAAGACTCAGCAAAGTCTCGAGCCCCCAAATTCTCCCACCCCTGCACACTTTCTATTCCTAATCGTACAAAATAGACATATTTGGTATCACCCTATCAGTAAATCATCACTTCTCATACCTTGAACTCGACAAACACTAGAAGAGCGATGAAACTCGAAGTAGGTACGGTCACATTACTTGATGCACATCTGCTCCTTCCCTCTTTGGACTAGACTTCCTCCAATGTTCAAGGTGAACGTAGGGATGACAGATCCTTAAACTAACTCATTACATTAGGAGCTACCAGAGCACATCAAGAGAAAGCTTCCGCACAATTGTTCACCATCATCATCATCATCACCATCCCCTGCAAACAAACAAACACAAAACTTTCTCGTTCAAAAAGAAAAAGACATCACAACGCATAAAGCTTCAAGAAACACAACACAATTGAACAGTTACAAATAACACTCAAAGCGACAGTCAAACACAAGAAGAATTTGCACCTCGACAAGATGGCCGATCAAAAAATGATTCAGCGCTGCCAACTGAGCAGCGCCGCGAATTGCTTTCTCAACTCTCACCGCAAAAATGACAATGCTAGTAAGTTTCTTATCCAATAGTGTGGCAATCACTAATTCTCCAGAATTCCTTTCAATGAGTAATCCTACAGCGCCTTATTACGATGGTAACAATTGGAAATCGGCTGTTTCTGTTGCGACGGAGCTCGAGCGGCATAGCTATTCTGCGGTTACGGATTGTCGGCGCGTCATGGCGCAGATAGATGACTCGTTTAAGAGAATAGATCTTGGTTATGGAGTAAGTCATATCTGCATATCTCTGTCGATTTGAGCTTTCGTCGCGACGATAGAAGGGGTGGAAAGGCCTAACGATCAGACAAAACAAACTGACGAGTTACTAGACGGCAAAGAAGGTAGATCCTACACCCGAAGCGCGGAAACTCATACAACGAGGCTCTGCCAGAGCTACCACTATCCGTGCACACTTGCAGACACCATTCGTTTTAAATCCCACCCCAAATCGCGTTTCCAAATGGCCTAGCCGCTATGAAAATTCTCACCTCTCCGAGCACACTGGCAGGTTGGGGATACCGGCTGATCGTGATCGTAGAGACATGCATTGGAGCGGGGAACGTTTGAATATCATAAGAGCAAGCGCTGACAACAAGGGACACAAAAATCAACGATATTCCCCACTGGATTACTATGGTACTATATTACACTACATGTATAGTCCCAATCGTCCTGGTGAAAATGTGCTTGTTCTAAATGCGATGGCTCTACATTGGTGGGATAAAGTACCAGACACTATGGAAGGAATCAATAATGAACTCTCCAATGGAATAGAGAATAAGAAGAAGGAGAAAGCCGGAAAAAGCTTGTCCAAGCTGGAAGGTATTTTTCGACGTAATCAGCTCAAGAGAAAACGAATTGTTGCAGCCGATAAAGGTGCAAAGAAAGCACAGAGAATGGCCAATCGTCACAGAGAATTCAAGAAGTCCGAGTTCCTCCGGGAGCAGATTGAGCGGTTCGAATATGTAAAGGAAAGAGGAGGAGATGGTTATTTGGAAGTTAACCATCATTTGAGTGCGGTGCCCGGATACATGTATCATGAGTTTAAAAGTGAGCGTCTGCTGGGCACAGGATTGTGGAACGGGATTGGACCTGGTAATGGAGCCAGACGTGAACGCCTAGGTTCTGTATGGCGTCAACATGACCTTCATGGTGTGTATAGCTCGTTGAGGATGGTGAGTAATGCTAGTAGCGACTTTCAAGAAAAGTACGTCACGAAAGCTACTTATGGTCCATCAACTTCGATACATACAGTAGATGACTGGGCCGAACCAATGGAGGAAGAGTCGGATCCAGATGACATATATTCAGACGAGACAGAATTAGATGAGACATCTTTAGGCGAGACACATTTCGCGACAAATTCCAATGAGTGTGAAATAGCGGAGGATGAGTCAATAGAAGATTATAAGATGAAAACGAGAGCGGGTATGAGCAATAAGAGGTTCCTAATTTCGCAGAAAGACAACGACTCGGCTAGAGGCAGAAAATTTCCAAGGTTGTTCTCGACACAACACTCAATTCTTATTCCCCAGAAATGATCTGGACGGCGTCCCATCAATATGGGTTGTATATGAAGCCAAGTCGAGTCTTCACCGAATGAGGTTTATCTATCGCTTTCGTCCAGATTTTGCGGATTCGTTTTCACAGATATCCTGGAATATATCTTTCAAGAACTTGTTCCGTCATTCGAAGCATATCTCGGAATTAGGATTTCTTCCGTCGCCATTTTTTAATATATCGTCTCTTCAAGTTGAACAGCAAAATTCTTCGCGTATCAGAAAGACATATATACTACGACTATTATCGCATATCGCACACCTCCGCCTCCTATAATTCGAATAAACCCGAGAAATGTCGAACAGAAGAATGGAAACTCACACCCCGATATCTCACAGATACAACCGAAGCATGGTTTGAATCTTTTAAGGTCGATGCAGTACATATAATGAAGTCCAAGCTTGATGCGACTCATTTCTTGATTCCGTTCGATTCCCGAATCTTGGACATCAAGACATCTATCTGCCCAAGACGAAGAAATGTCAAAGACCGGCAATGATACATAATATAGCTTTCGAGTAGTCCCTTCGGACATCAACATTCGAAACTGTCGAGTTCCCAAATTGGTATATGACAAAGACTTTCAAATTTTGGCCAGCTTAACAGAGGGTCTCAGCATAGCTCCTTGGGCTCATTTCCCATGGCATTGGCTCAGCGGATTCTCTGTGGCCACGCACTCAGATTTTTGTCAAGATTATCGGCCGACAAGTTTTGGATATCGAATGATACAATACAGATGTATCAAATAGCCAAAAGAATACAGACAGATGCTCAATGCTCAACGCCGTTTTCGAACTCGGGCGATTGTTAAAAGCTCTTTGTTTCTTAAAGTGGCTTTTCTTTCTAGCATTGTCAACCTTACGACTATTTGTCACGAGTCTAATTCATATTGTCTCCGGGAGTATCGACACTCGAGATGTCGACGGATGGAGCGTTACTCCGGCCCATAGCAACAAGACAGATGATATGCTCAGTGACGCTTTCTTCTGATATACTTGAATAATTGGAAAACTCCTCAGAGCTTGCTTCCACCTTTAGAATTCCAATTGAGAGAGAAAGACGAAAAAATCGAGCAAGGTCTGATTTGAGAGTCTGATGTTTTTGTTGTGAAAACAGAGACCGGGCACAAAGACTCAAGTCTCGCGGCTTTCAGGATATAGAACGATGTTGGTATCATTTAATCCGCTTGATAGCCGCACTCTAATCACCTTTGGAAATTAACAATTTATTTTCAAAATAGCTATCTTTGAATGTATAAGAGATATAATTTGGAAGTCATCGCCAAAGAAGTTAGAAGAGAGCTCTTGTCACGAGGCGCCGATGCAAAAAGGTATCAACTGTCTTACCATTTTCTTTTGTATATTATTGATTATGTGTTGGAAAATATTCGCAGAATCTAAAGGGAGGAGACTTGAAAGAGAGATAATCGAGTTAGAATGTCGGGAGAGGTTAGAATTTGATATTTTACAGGATCTATCAAGCGAGGAGGGCTTTTAACAGATCTTGCCATTTTCCTTTGCCAATAGGCGTTTATGTATTTGGAAACTATAGCAATGAGAATACTTCAATAATAGGTGGCGGAATTTTGTTTAGTGATAATAAATGTATGAGTGAGGTGAATAAAGGTGAGATCGAAGTATCGAAGTCGTCTAACGACATGGTGATTGCAAGCTAAGTTGAGCTGATGATATTGGGATCGTGATAGCGCTCGATAATGTAATCTAGGTACATATGGGTTGATTGATGGCCGGGATGCAAGGTGAGCCTGAATGGTATGGGAGGCGACAAGAAGCTAATGGGTCCGGATAAGTTATAACCTCATCGAAGATGAAACAAGTGTTGAATACAAATTGATTCCGTTGGTAGAAAAGGAAAGAAAACGAGTGAGTATGAAGTGAACGATCTGTAAATCACACTGCTCAAAACGGACAGTGAAGGAACAGCAAGCATGTAAGAGCAAAACAACCCGGCATCAACTAAGATAACCGGCAACGATCAAAATAAATTTATAACAGAACGCAATTCATTCTGTAGGATATTTGTTTCTGTTCCCAAGGTCTGATCCACTAACTATCAATACAGGTAGCGCTTGCTATTTCATTATTCATCTTTCGCATCGGTATCATACAATTCCTCCCCGATCGGCTTCGTCGCTCCACTATCATCTCCCCCGGGTATCATACAACACTTCCATATCAAACTTTGCTCTCCCCGGTATTCTTCGCGTCATCCACGATTTTGTCTTCCGGGGCAAACTTCATGCTCACACTATTGACACAGTGTCTCTCATCCGTCGGTGTCTTATAGCCTTCACCTTTAAACACATGTCCCAAATGGCCGCCACAATTCGAACATACGATTTCGGTTCGCTCCATTCCTAGAGTACTATCCGTATGTCTAGTTACAGCTCCAGGAATGTTGTCAAAATAGGCGGGCCATCCACATCCAGACTTGAATTTGTGTGAAGCTTTGTATAGAGGGGCATCGCAGCCGGCGCATGTGTAGACACCAGAGTCGGGCATGTGTTTGTCGTATTTGCCGACATACGGAGCTTCGGTGCCTTGTTTACGGAGGACTCGGAATTGTTCTGAAGAGGGTTAGATGAGGTTTGTGGATCAATTTTGCATATATCGAGGGAGGAAGAAAGGAATGGTAGGAGAGAGTCGGGGTAGACTGGGTGGATGGCAAAGAGCGAGAAGGGAAACTTTACCTTTTGAAAGAACAGCTTGCCATTCTTCGTCTGTCTTTTGCACTGGATAAGACATTTGCTGAGAGCTTGAAGTACCAAAGAAAGATGATAGAAATGGGATGGTTGGCATTGATCTCAGGACAGTTCCTCGAGTGATGGGTTGAAGGGCTTTGTATTGTGTTGCTGGGAGGCGAGAAAGGGTATAATTGCTGATTGTATAGAAGGTACGAACGAGAGTTGGAAACGTTGGGATACGCATGAAGGATATTTATAATACTTTTGAGGATATATTTGATATTGGGGTATGACAAATTGGGGGATGTGTAAAAGTGCAGTGTGCAGGGGGAGCTCAGTCTTATGTGGAATCATTGCTTTGTACGCCTGCGGGGTTGAACGCCACCATGACGGATTCTTAGCGAAGAACCATCACCGAGAAATTTCACGGTCACCGGTGTTTTGGCAAGGATTGTACTTGGGACTATGGATTGATTGCATCATGCATGCCGAAATCATTAGAAATTTTTAGAGGATGATGAACTTTGTTGATATGAGGTTAATGAAGAAACTACTAGTCTGGTAATGTGGAAACAACATTTCTAGCAGACTGGGCTCATGTGCTCAACCTGCAGCAGCACATCCTGACTTCAGCTCAAACCATACACAAGGAATCAGCATGGAATCATTCTTCTGCTGTTGACTTCACATACATGCACGGGCAGCTATACAGGATTATTCTGGGGGCGAAGTTGTTTGTTCTCATTAGATGTTATGTTGGAATCAAGACTTGATGTTCGTGAATACGCGATGCGATATGATATGAAGATAGTGTTATACACTGAATCATTGTCAGGTTTAGTCAGAGTTATTAGCAAGAGAATAGAAGAATCTAGAGCTACTATTATTACTAGTCGATAACTCTATCTTCATTGCGATCGGATAAATGGAGGGAATATCATAAGAGATATCAATCCCCAGAACAAGGTATGGAGGGAACATTTTGAAGTCCAGACGTTATAGCTAATAAGTAGGGTGTTTGTCAAGCTCTGTCGTCAACGTGATATTGGATATGAAATATACAAATGGTTAAGTTCTATATTATATTTATCTTTGACACCCCCCTTGAAGATGCTCTTCAACAACGCATCCACAAACTCTAGTCTAACAGAAAACTTGATGCAAGTTCACCATGATTAGTTTTTTGGGGGGAAAATTCTCTCTAGTCCATTTCCCCACGGTGAACTATGTAAAACGCTAGAAGATCGAGCTGATAGAGGGATCAATAACTTGGAAGTGATTGATTGATCTGTCAATAATTCTAGGAGTTTTCCCGCCCTCCTCCTTCTCCTCCTCCTCCCACTAGATGCTTGTTAGGTGATAGGCCAACGATAACTCTGCATACCTAGATAGATAGATGTTTGAAAGGTCGAGTGTCGTACGGGAAAGTGTCAAGTATACCATGTAGATTACTACAGTAGCCACAAATCAAGAACCGTATTTCATATCTAGGATGCATTACTGAGGTCTCTCCAGCTACCTAAGTGCAATTCCTTCTAGGTATGAATCAATGGCACTATCCAACGAAGCCTTCCGAGGGCGTGAATCGACTCTCTCAAAGTGGACAAAGTGATTAGCATAACATGACTACCTACAACCCACCACCGTAATATATTAAGATCCAATCATTCAATTGTCCGATTGCCCAAATCGTTCCAAACCGTTCCAAACCGTACCAATCTTGGGCCTCTCTCGGTAACGTTATAATGACTTTGTTTAGTGGGGACGCAAGGCCGAGCGAGCTGTTCAGGCCTGTGCTGCGCTTTGTGTGGAATCAAGAAAGCTCCTTTCAGAAACATTTCACTCTATTCCTCAGGACACGCGACATAATCTTCCAAATCATTACATACAATCATTGTAATCGAGATTCTTTGCCAAAGGAGTATTCAATTTCGTTTTCATTACATTACACTTCACTTCACTTAATTTAATTTCGCCAGGATGTCGCGCAGGCCAGCAAATCCTCAGGCTGAGCGTATTGCGCAGAACACCCAAACGATAAAGAGTCTTTTGAAACTCGAGTGTAATAAAGTCTGTTGCGATTGCAAAAGGAATAAACGTAGGTTCTATCCATATGCTTCCATCCATTGTATGAAGTCAAGAGCTGATTATTCACTCTAATCTGTTAGATCCAAGATGGGCAAGCTGGAATTTGGGGGTATTCATGTGTATAAGATGTTCCGGAATACACCGTGGCATGGGAACTCACATCAGCCGAGTGAAATCCGTTGATTTGGATTCATGGACAGACGAGCAGGTACAAAGCGTATTGAAATGGGGAAATGCCAGAGCAAACAAATATTGGGAAGCAAAGTTAGCCCCAGGCCACGTACCATCCGAAGCCAAAATCGAGAACTTTATCAGAACAAAATACGATTCGAAGCGATGGGTTATGGATGGACCAATTCCGGATCCCTCAACTCTGGACGTCGACGGAGACGATGATATACCCCTTGGACTTGTCAAGGAGAAGCACAACCTCGAGAGATCAACATCACAAAAGACCGCCCCACCTAGTCAAGCCCCTGCCCCGATCAGCGCCCCTCCTCAACAGGATCTCTTTGGTGATGATTTCGGACCACCTCCGAGAGCGAGTACTGCCGGTCCGGTACCTGCGAGACCTCCACCAAAGTCAGAGCCGGCTCCCCCAAAGCAAACAAAACCGGCGGATTCCCTCTTGGGCTTGGACTTCTTCGGAACTGAGGCTGCTCCTCCTAGTCGACCATCGAGTACCACACCTGCTCCAGGCACTCAGTCAAGACCTGATTTGAAACAATCGATTCTATCACTTTATGCATCCGCTCCTCGTCCTCAAGCGCAACAACAGACATCGCAAATTTCACATGCATCATCGGGATCTTTTGGTGGCATGCAAGCGGCACCTCAACAATCGCCACAGCGTTCTACATTTGGAGGTATGAACGATGCATTCAGCAGCCTAAGTTTCTCAAATGCAACATCTCCTCCAGCTAAGACCTCGGCTTTCTCCAACTTGGGTAACCTCTCCAGCCACCGATCTACAGGTTCTGGAGCTCAAATTTCTTCTCCGCCCCTTAGTGGTGGCGGATTCTTTGATTCAAAGCCAAAAGCAGCCGCTGCGCCTTCTCAAGTATCTCGTACGTTCAGCTCCACAAGCGGATTTGGAGCTTTTGACTCGGCACCAGGGCAATCACCAGCTCCGCAGTCCACAAATGCAAGTTCCTCATTAGGAGATCTATTCGACTTCTCCACTCCTGCTGTACAAAATGTTTCACCACCTAAACAAACACTCGCTTCGCCACCTGCTCAATCGTCAGTCTTCAATCTTTCAAGCCCTACGGCAACTGCACAAAAATCTCCGCCAGCAGCACCTGCTATGAGCAGCGCTTGGGGCAACACTGATGCATGGGGTTCAAGTGATGCTTGGGGTAGCTCTGCCAAAACTAGTCCATCACTCACAAAAGCCGCACCACCTCAAACTAACGCTGGGGATTTTGGTAGCTGGGGAGGTCTATCAAGTCAAAGCATAGTACCAGGTACTGGAGGTAGTTTTAATACAATGGCTAGTGCTCCAAAGGTGACAGCAGATGATGATTTTGGAGGGTGGAGTAGTGCGGCCCCTGCGCCGGCTTCGAATGCGACTTCCGGAGCTGGGAAGCCTGCTGGAGGTTTCTCATCGGGTGGTGAGGATTTATTCTCTAATGTATGGGAGTGAGGATATTGAAGGATACAGTACGATGTGAAGTGGGAGATGAGGGCAAGAGCTTGCGGGATATATGAACATGGACGGATGGATGGAAAATGACATGAACATAGATATCCCATAAATGACAGATAATTCAAGGCGCAATTTAAATTTGATGCGTTTCTATACAATTCTCGCGTATATTCATTTCACCCCTGAAAGCAACAACCAACCATGCTACGAAACATCGCCATGTATCCTGATCCGTTCAACCGTGATAGTATATGCAACCAATAACGCCCATTACAATGCCACAGCCGCAGTTTAATACATCTGCCCATGTCCTGCCCATACATATGATACAATGCCTTCCTTTCGTGCTTAGTCTTAGTCTCAGTCTCAGTTTCTTCCCGTCGTTCCCATTTCCCTCTCCAAGCACTATTGAGTTTGTACACTCAATTCCAGATACGTTGCCATTCTTGCGCTGCATCCTACAAGTTCAAAAATCGACCTTGCCTCTGCCTTCCAGGTTTGTTCTTCAATCTCCCCTTTTCCATCATGTAAAGCTTCCGGCCCCTCATCTAAACAAACAATCCCCATAAGAACCACAAAACCATCACGCACCCAATGATCATCCCGCTAAGTTTCAATATGGCGACTTTATTTCCGGAGGAGGCCATACGGCCTAGGCGTGAAGCAGATCCTTTGAGGGAGGAAGACATGCTGGAGAAGGTATCGGACTATTCGTGGAACACATTAATCTTTATTTGGTGTATATGCGGATAGTAGAATGCAAGAAGAAGAAGAGTGGAAGAGGAAGAGACGGGAATACATACAGTATTATCAATAACATCTTGCGCTCTAGCATTATCATATATATCCACCGTAACGCCTCTCAAGGCCGACACTTTTGCGGATAGTTCATTGAGACGAGAATTGTTTTGACGTTCGCGCTCGTATGCATCCGACATTTTGAATGGCAGATTTGTGTTTCTAGGGGTAGGAAAGTATTGGGTAGAGCAGATGATGAGGTGAGGTTCTAAGACTATGATGTCTGTGTTTCAAGACTCGTAGGTTTCGGTGGATGGGAAGATGGATGGATGGCTTTCTTTGTCTGTGAGAGTTGATACCCAGTTGATTGTTCGTGGTTTCTTAATTGTATAGTGCGATTAATTCTCGTGTGACAAGTATCTAGTTTTGGAAGTGACATTTACTTGAGTTAATTCATGCAATTCGTAAAGCGTAATGAGTGTATCCTAGATAATCTTGTCGCAACCATGTTCATTTGTGATTAACCCAAAAAGGTCCAAGGCTGAGGCTGATTTGACACAGCCACAAGCTCGGCTCTCATTCCGTCCGACAGGTGATCATTTATTAAGTACGAACTGTTAGTTCAATTAATTGCGCGCAAGCTTAGAATTCCACGACGTCAACGGCTCCAATCCGATTATTTTCGCCCGCATACAAAGATTGAGGTTTAGAACCTTGATCGGATTGTTCGGAACATTTTTATTGAATTTCTCAGAATTCGCAAGATCAGATATAAGAACAGACATATTCTTGTATCCCTAATTAAAACATACTTGGAGTTTGAAGTGATTTCACACTTACAGGATAAGGCGATAGTAAAACACCCCACACTTTGTCACCGAACATCCCACACTTGCTTCCTAGTTCGCGAACGCAAGGAGATACATACATAGATAGTACCTACCTATCTAGACAAACGGACCGACAGAATAGCTTCGCGCAAATTCATTACAACCATCGTTCACAGATCTACCTCACATAGGTATAATTCTTCAATATGCCTTTAGGAATCAATAATCCGCTTCCTTCGTCTATGGCGTGTAAGTTATTCCATTTTGTCAATCGGCCGACATAAGATCGTTCGATTGCCGGTAGAACATCTAAGCTGACATCGATTCTTTTACCAGCGGAATGCAAAAAGTGTGGAAAGATTTTGTCCTCATTTATTGATCCACGACAAGCTTTCGGACCAGATAAGATTATTCCACCACATGTTCTCGCGCAAGCAAAGGTTTATCCTCCCTCCATTATATTCCTTCCCAGCCACCAATTTCCCGAACCTCTCACTAACGCTTTTCTCACAACTAGGGCCTCGCAATCGTTACAGTTCTTAAAGCTGGTTTTATCGGTTCCGGTCGTTACGGAAATGGTGTCGTTATAGCTCGTCTTTCCGATGGTTCTTGGTCCGCACCCTCAGCAATTGGTATCGGTGGCGGCGGAGTGGGTGGACAAATTGGTTTTGAGCTTACAGATTTCGTTTTCATTCTTAATGACGCTGCAGCCGTGCGCACCTTCTCTCAAGCTGGTTCTCTTACATTGGGTGGAAATGTCAGTATTGCCGCTGGACCAATAGGACGAAATGCCGAGGCAGCCGGAGCTGCCAGTATGAAGGGTGTAGCTGGTGTTTTCAGCTATTCCAAAACCAAGGGACTTTTTGCCGGTGTCAGTCTCGAGGGAAGTGCCATTATCGAGCGAAGGGATGCGAATGAGAAATTATATGGAAGGAGATTCACAGCCGCTGAATTACTTGGAGGCGCAGTCCGAGCACCACCAGCAGCACAACCTCTTATGAATGTGTTGAATTCGAGAGCTTTCGCGGGCCAGAATCCCGATGATGGAATTTATAATGACAGCCCTGTTTATGACGAACGACACGATGATGTAGTTTGGGAAGGTAGAAGAGGAAGTGCATTTGGAGAAGGTACACAAAGAGATCGAGGCGCAAGTTTAGGACACAGTGACGATTATGTCAACCCGAACCGACCTCAAAGAGCAAGTACATGGGCCGATGATATTTACGACAGGCCAACCAATGGAAGCAGGGCTAGATCTGGTAGCGGATTTGACGATGACTATGTGTATTCTGATGCTCCCCGTGCACCTCCAAGTCAATTTGGTGGTAGTGGAAAACCAGGACCAGGTAGACCTGCTGCGCCAAAACCGAAATTCCAACCAAAGACAGCTAGTTTGAGAAGCAATGAGGCGGTTGCGCAATTTACGTTTGATGCAGATCAACCAGGAGATTTGGGATTCAAGAAGGGAGATGTTATTATGGTAACAAAGAAGACTGAGAGTACTGAAGATTGGTGGTATGTTTATGTTTATTTTTTACTCTTGGAAGAGTTTCCTGGGATTCTCGGGCTAGGAAAGGGACAGTTGAGGCTAACTTGTTGTTTGAATAGGACTGGTACCCTCAACGGACGATCAGGCATTTTTCCTTCGAATTATGTCAAAATGAGGGAGTAAATTTTGTCAATGAAACACGGGCGAGAATCATTCCCTACTCAAATCCGCATTTTTACACACTATCAACCTCTACCGCCGGAACAACACTCTCGAGTCGTTTCTGGCATATAGTTGTTTTCGTATTCTACATTATGGGAGTTTTCGGAGGTTTCATTTGCATTTCCTAGATGTTTTATACTCATCTCTATATCTATCTGTTCTGCTAGCGAATCCATTTTTATCTTCTTTGACCTTTTTCATTTCTCATACCTTTCATGTCCTTTGGGAAGTACATGGTTTGTGGATAGAGCTTGGGCTCAGGCTTTAGGATGCTGATGAAGAATTTGCGAAACAAAGAGTACGGCGAAGGAAATTCCTTGGTACATAGTGATGAGGAGAATTATGGGTAAGAAATTGAATGTGGATATAGGGATGAAAAGATGAATTGGAGAAGAGCTTTTTTGGTATGGAACGGTTGGTTTGATTGGGGTTAGCGAAATATGAATAAAAGTGGTAATTATATGATGTTTTGTAAATCATTGATATGTGAAGATGTGAGCCAAGATTGTCTGGGGATTATTAAAGGTCAGTAGCTGGGTTTGTGGGAATATCTTCTTCATTTTTTCAAGTGAACACTACATCTTGGTAACAAGTGGGATAATGTGATTCCAACTTTGGGTTTGGAGCGCGATTGGGTGATTCACACATTCTATGTTATATGTTCATCATTCACTATTTCCCTCAAAATTTGGCTAATCGAGTGATCTGTCCACAAACCCCTCCTCCTTCTTCTGTCCTAATGCCTTTCCTCTCGCGGTTATATAAGCCCCTATCTTGGGCTGTTTGTAGAGGGTAAGTTGTGAAAACAAAGTTTCTTTGGACTTAACAGGCTGGTGGGGTGGTGGGCGAGTGAGCTGTTTGGGGGGTGGGAATGGTGGTATTTTGCTGGGTAGGTATGGGCTATGGATTTGAAGATGGGACGGTGAAGGGGAGGGGGAGGGTTTTCGTCTGGTGATTTGGGGGTGTGAGGGTTGGTGACGGTAGTGACAATAAGAAGAGCGACAACAAGGATAATGACAATAAAAAGAGCGACAGCGACGATGATTCCAATCTCTACAAAACATACCTCCCTCCCTCCCTCCCTTCCTCCCTCCCTCTTCCAATATCTCAATATGCAATTTGTCTGGCTTGTGAATTCTAAGTTGATCCAAAGGCCCAGTAGCGCATACTATCTCCGAGCTGTGCTCGTTAAGGAATGTGGATACTTTGGTAATGGTGGGGTATCGAGGGACTATATATAGGTATGAGAATCTGGAAGTTGGGAGTTGGGATGTGCTGTGTTGGAGGCGGGTGGTGAGTTTCTTCGGGGGTTCTGAGGGGCAGGTATCATGTGGTGCTATTCCCTGGGACTCTTGGATTGCCACCGGTAGGTTAGGATTAAATATTTCGGTGCTCTGCCTATTTTCCCCCAGGGACCTTGTGTGGTTCAAAGGGTATGTAAAAAGCACTTTCCATAAGATAACAACCCGTCAAAAGACTTCAAACTGTTGAAAACATGGACCATATGCAGTGTGCGGGTCGGTAAGTAAGTGTATATATGTATGTGTGCAAATCATTGTGCGAATTTGATACGGGCGTTTTCGGTGTGGTATCAAAGGGGAATCTCGGTAGGAGTAAGATTTCTTGGGTTCGGCGATGGGGAAGGGGAAGGGGAAGAATGTTTGGTGGATAGTGGATGGATGATAGTGCTTTGAGATTTTTGGCAGTGATAGGGGAGTAGTACGACAGTGATCGAATTCCTATCAGCTAGGCAGATAAAATGACAACCGCCAAGCTTTTTCAGGGACAGGGAAATGTTACTCACTTCAAGCTCGTGGATGTGTATCGCGCACTCGAGAAATCTTTACAGGTGTGCTACGTGTTCTTCTTTGTGTGGTCTTCTCTTGATGTTGTATAGATCGATAAGATTTCGATCTTGTACACAAGAGAGAGGTTTATACTGAAAGGATCGAATTTTTGACTGTAGTATTCTCTTGAGCTTACCTGTTTCGCGGGCGGGTTTACTGGGCGTTTGTGTGATTCGCTCTTGGAATGGGGAGAGGGGAAAGGGGGCGAGTTGGGGTTTTGAGTTGAGATTTGCTATCTATATAAGCTCTACTTGATAGATTTCTATCTTGAACTTTAGATTTTCCAAATCGAAGCGCAAAATCCAAGCACGAGGGTTACTTTTGCCGCATTTGTATCGGTGAACCTGGGGGGTTTCGGGAAACTTGCGATTACTTGATGAAAATTGAAGGTAAATGAGTGTAGTAGATGACAACATTGTTGATTAGATTGACAGTAGAAGGATAAGAGATGAAACGCCAGTGAGTTGTTGTGAGACAAGTCTCGAAAATCTCTCTCTCAGAGTCCTCTGGGATGTGCACTCAGCTATTTTTTGTTGCTGGAAATACACATCCACGCCGCGTACTTAGCTGGCTCCTCGGTATTATTTTCCTCGATTACTAGATTCTTGCTCTTCTTGTATGATATTTACAAAATATTTATACACGCGTCTGGCCAATGTCAAAGTTTGAAGTGGAGGGTATTCGCTCATTCCCTATTCTGTCATCTTCCAGAACAATGGTCATTAGTGATATGCATATACTAAGGAAACTTCTCAGCCGCACTGTTTACCTGTATTATCATACCTACCCCTCATTAGCAAAGGCTCGAGGCGGAGGCTAAACTCGTTCAAGCTAGGGTACACTAGGTGGAGAGCTCTCGTCCTTCACTACAGGTCTTTATAAGAATAGATCTTTGCGTGGATTGAACTGAAGTCAAGATAGTTATCTTGAACTACTAGGCTTCATGTGGTGGGAGAGACTTGACTGGCAAGTCTGTCAATATGCAACGCTATAATGCTGCTTGTGCTTTTGGCTAGTAAATCAGAGGCAAGTTTCGATGTCAAGAGCATAGTTGATACTCAAATATTAGAGACATCAATACATTTGCAAGTGGTGGTAATTATGCGCAGTGACAACGGATGTAGTAGAGCAAAGTGATAGTTCGAGGCAAAGAGATGGGATTCCAAAACTCATCGCTTCAAAGTTTACCATAGAAATGCTCAAGGCAAAAAATCAAGAAGCGCGTTTCTGCCTCATCTCTTGCAAGCTTTCCCTCTATCTGGCTTAGATTGTAGAGATCTCTGCGTCTTATGTAGTAGCTAAGTTCTCTCTTCTGTTGCCCTAGCATGAGGATGGTTGGGCGTTCATGAATCAACACAGTGGATTTTCGAAAGTGGGAAGTTGGGTCATATAATGAATCCTCAATTCGATTGAATCATTAAAAGTTAATCATCTCTAAGATCTGAATCATACGTAGCCGATCCAAGATTTCCAAGTACCTTGACAGTTTCCGCGATGGCTGTCGTGGAATATTTGTGCTTTTGATAGGAATATGTTTAAATAGACAACAAACCCCCCATTCTTCAAGTCTCATCTCGTTGATGACTCTGCGAAAATTGCATTCAATAAGTGGGTTTGGCGAGAAATTCGTGGAATACCACTGGTCTTCTGAGTTTTTATATGCACTTAGATGTATCTTCTATCCAGTGTTCACCAAGTATCTCCATTCTCTCTTCCTGGGATTTACTTGGAAGGTAGATTGGCCATAGTGATAGGGGTTAGGGAGAAAGTAGTTTTAAGCCTAATGGGCGGAATGAGATATTCCCCTATACAACAACCTGAGTGATCAATTTCACTGAGCTTGATGCAGTGCGTCTGGTAACGTGAGTGGACTCAGAGTATCCCATCCCTTAGCCAAGTGACCAGATACAAGATTTGGATACTTGAAATTCCATGAAATTCAATGTTATGACATCATCTGAATGAATCTAACGATTCGGACGGATTAAAAGATTCAATTACCTCATATTGAACTATAGTCTGAACTATCGGACGTCTCAAGTAGGTTAATCGGGCAAAATAAATGAGAAGAAGAGAGGAGCTAGTAGTGACACAGTGTGAATTTTACATGAGGATGCGAGACTATAAACTTCAACATTTCGGTATCTCTTTCATAGTAGCTCGAACTTCACAAGGACGTTGAGGTCCCATCTTGCGCTTTGTCTTGGGTCTACGTCGAATTTTTGCTCATTTTTATGAACTTGTGGGCATCGGATAGCTTTATATATACTAAGATTGACTTCATTCCTCTGTACGTGATGACGCAATCATCGTTCCTCATTTTTCTGATCTAATTATATAAACGCTTCTTCTTACATAAACAAAAATTCCTCTCCACACTATTTTAAGGATCATCCTGGTGTATGGTGCCCGTTTCTATCAAGTAATTGAATAATGCATCGATAGATCCTTCGATGACGACTCTCTCAAGCTACCTGTGAATTTATCAGTGCTTTCAATTATCAGTTTTGTCTCAAATATCGAACAATTTTGATGATTGCTATTATTCAAAAAGAACACTGTCCAAGATGAAAATGTAGAAAGGTATTAGACGAGACCATGACACTTTTCAGCCTTGGGAGTTCCGTTCGCGCATATGTAGGAAGTTGGATGCATGTGTCACCAGAGTTTTGATCAAGTTGTGCGGGATCATATTGATAGGTAGGTATGTTTCCTGAGTCATTTCTCTATGATCTGATGATGCATCCAGAAGTTTGAATGGATACGTGACAGCAGCTAGAGGAGTAACGACAATCATCCAATACAAAACATAAAACTCTAGACAAGGAATCACGAGAAGTAATACGTCAATTTTCCTGAAGATTTCACCTGATCACGAAACATATTTGATGACAGTTCGCGAAGTTGATGGGCAGACTAGAGAAGATCAAAGTTGACAGCTCTTTGTTCAGTGTTGTAGGTACATATGTTCACAGGATAGGCAAGTATATATCCAATGCTCTCGGATTCTAGCAGCTATTATTCACTACCATATCACTATCTACTCATTCAGATTCGCACTAAACCTTGAATGATATCATCTCCAGTTCTTCCCCTTCTTTACCCTTCTCTCAATGTGCTAATTTTCTCCGCAATCTCAATTTGATTCACCTAATCCAGATGTCCACTCACATAATAATCACCAATATCATCTGTATCCAATATCAAGAACTAGGTACAATATCACCGACGAAGACAAACTAGACACGAGAAGTGAACAACCTCAAAGTCAATTCCTTATAGGGGAACAAAGGCAGACGGGTGCCTTGACGCGGCCAGTCACTTGGCCCTGGTTCGAAACGATTGAAGATGGAGAAGAGGTCATCAAAAATGAAATCATGGAATACTATAATTATGGGTTGGGCTCTTGGTAGTAACCAAATTGCTCAGATGGACGATATTATTATGGCTGATATGACATCAGACTGCGTGATCTCGTAGACTGGGCAGAAAAAGTCTGTATAACCTCAGACAATCCGAAACACCCAACTCAACCAGGAAAATTAAGTCCTCCCAAAACTTCCGGCGCAGGGAAAGTTGATGTGTAAGATGAACATGAGGGGTAAAAGCTGAGATAGTTGTTAACC